CCTACTTTATTTTCTATCGAAAATTTCAAGTATACTAAACGTGAGATCACGAATCAAGCGGAATATTACCGGCACAAAGGAGCCATCGATTGTTGGCGAAGGAAAAAATAAAAATGTTAGTAGAAAGACAATCGCGAGAGTACGCTAACGCGAAAATATATTGTCCGTTGGTACAATGGTACGGTGGACGATCAGAGAGATATAACTTTTGTATTCAAGAAACGACCGGCAGAAGAAGCGAAGGCGTTGAATACTGATGTCGTTCGCGTCGACAAAGACCTCTTCAAGGTCGGGGTCGCTACTCGATACCTATTCTGCATTTCTTTACTCTCCTCGAGTAACTGATCTATCTGGCACCTTTGACGCACCGTTAACCCTTTAAGGACGTTCGGATACTATGATTCAGTGTCGTATATACTATTAATCAAAAGTTTCAAACTACCTAATTCGAATTTTCCTTCCCCCGGGAAAAAGTGGCGACACCCCCACCTTCCCATCTATCCCCCTCGGCATCCCCGGGGAGAATGACGGCATAGGGATAGTGGGCCTCATTATATAGGCCCGTCGCGGACCACCACTTGCGCGCGCACCTGTACGCGGGAGAATTTGAACTGAAACTTATTTATTATTAATATTTCTCAGCTATACAATAAATTTTATGATATTTAATTATTAAAAATTGTATTATTTTTCTTTCTAAATCACTTTTAATATTAATATCGTGAAAATTAAGATTCTGAGACTGCTAGAATCATGTTTGTTGTGCCATAAGAGATTCTTTCTCAATCCTCGTTACGTTTCACTGGAAAGACGCGCTTTTCCATAAGCTCGTTATCACTGATAACGTGAAGCGATAAGGTTCGCGGGTATACAAACGTAGCTATCGTGAGACACGATGTCCCATATTATCAGGCAGATTGCGCGATAAATGGAATTATGCAAGCAACGTGCTGCCTTTCTCAAATTAAACCCTTTCAACGCGACGTTCATTGTGCGATAACCAAAAATCAATACTGAATTTTTATCGTTTGAAACTTGTATCACGAAAGTACGGCGAGTCTATTTGCGTTTTCGACAGTGAACTAAAATTGAACTCCATAATAAAAAGGAACCGTAAGAATCTTTAACCGATTAGACCGAGTAGCTTCGGAAATTCGTGATTTTCAGCGATTCCGGAAAAGTCACGCTTTTTCAAGATCAACAAACACGAATTTACATTTGGTGAATTCACGTTTGGCCTTTCAGGTGTCTCGGTATCTTCCAATCCGAAAGGTCGCTGCTTGATGCATCGGTTGACCCAGTTACACGGTTCACCTCGTTACTGGCCACCATTAAATTTATCAAGCGTTGCCTACGCAGAAATTTCCCTGAAAATCGATTCGTCCCAAGTACCTCGAAAAAAAAAAAAAAAAAAAAAAAAAGAAAAAAGAAGCAAACTATAAAAGAATAATGAATTTCTGAAGGGATTCGTTTCAACGAGGACAAGAACATTGATTAATTCTATCGAACACTTTTACGCGTCCATATGTATACGTGCATAACAATGCTTATGAAAAGGTTGAAAGATAGGCGCGATAGATAAGAATCATTACGAAACAGAAAACGGCGATTATTAGAGACCGCGATGTGTTTGGTAGAGGCACGAATTCCGTGCGAGTTACAAATCGGGTCATGGAAACAGGGCGTACGTCAGTCCCGATAAACTCGAACAATCAAAATGTCAACTTTTCGACAGGTAAACGTGATACGATGATCTGACCGAATTTACTGACAATGAGCGAAGGATTGGTTAAGCGAGTTACCATTTCTGGTATACGTGTAAAAATAAGTGGTACGCGTGGATAACATTTCTCGTTTTCAAAATAATTGAATAATTGAAATAAGATTAATTAACACCTAATTACTAAGAATATTAGGTAATAATTAATTTTTAAATTTCAAAGTTCAACCTTTCCATTTGCCATTTCACGTTATTTGTACCATAGCAATATTACTTAAATTAAAATAATGTTTCTCTATCGTTTTATTTTAATTATTCACGCGTATGTAAATTGCGGAGTCGGTCACCGGTTACCCCTGTGTGCCGTTCAACGTGTTAATAGAGCGTGAAATTAGATCATTCCATTACCAAAACCGTGTATCTCTTACAACACATTTCCTATCTACCATTTATTTGTTTAGACTGCATGAATCATGATGTATCATCTCAAATTATTTATCATCGTGGTTAGTTACTCATCGGTGGTGTTTATTTTAAACAACGCAATGAACTCGTCAAAATCAGTCGAATTTACGAGATTACCAAAAAAATCATAATCTTCTAAAGGATTCACGATTAACGCGAAAGATTCTCTCGTTATTCGTAGTTTCTAGTTATTGCAAAAATGTCCAAGGCTAACGGATTGAAACTAACAATCGAGCACCCTGTAATTTAAAACTGTATTATCGTGTGTGCTCGGCACGTTTCTCGTTCGGAGGCGGCTCTCAAGGTAGCTCGAACATAAAACGTATCGTGCTTTGCCTTAATCGCTAGCCAGCGGTAATTACGTCAACGACGACGATTATCGATTTGTAAATTTGCAAGAATTACATTATCTGCTTGGTTAAAAACAAAAAAAAAACAGGAGAAGAAGAAAGTTCCACTGACGATACCGCGACGAACGCAAAACTTGAAAGAAATTTAATTTCGAACTATCAATATACGTATGGAAATTAATGATGTTTGTAATACGTAAGAGATATCAAGGAATTATGATGATACAATAGAATGCTTGTATAATATCCGCGATTTGTCACGTTACGTCGTCTCGAATAATCAGCCTGTCACGAAATGAAAAAAAAAAAATAAGAATCGTCTATCTAATCACGCAAGAATTTGCTTCAACTCACACCCACTTTATCCAATTAGAATTTATCTTTATAAGAAAGAAAATTTGGTAATTAACACCCGAGTTCGTCGAGATTCTTCTTTAGAAATAAAATATAATTAATTCTCGGACGACGACGGACCATGGAGAGAGCAAGAATTTTAATATTTAAATCATTAGTATATTCGCCCACGCGATTCGATACACGGTAAAAGGATGAAATTCTTGAATTAATATTAAAATGAACGGAAAAAAACCTGTGGATGATTCAGAATGGTAGTTCCATGCGACTACGAGCAAAGAGTAGTTGTACTATTCTACTACGAGGGCGTGCAAGGAGTGTCCATTCACGCGTGACACACGCGGCGCGCGAGTACGAGGCTACTCCACTTACGTTCATTCATAAAAATCACCGCGTTCCTGGAACTCGCGCTCTGACGAACATTCTTAAGTCTATACGTTACGAAAGATTTTCGAAACCACCTTAACCTTCGAATCATCGACGAAACGAAAGGATCGTGATCGAGCTACATCCTACGTAGCTAAATTTTATTTCTCAAAGAAATAAATACATTTTTTAATCCGTTCACTTGGCCACGTGTCGGTTAAAAATTCTTCAAAACAAGGACAAAATTGTTTCTCTTTCTCTATGCAAATCGCCCTGTTTATTTTCGTCGATCTCGAGTAGCCGTATGGTGTATCGCGAGTTAAAGATCCATAAGAGCAGAACCAGAGGTTGATTTACATAACGATTCCCTCGAACTAGCGGCGTACACTTGAAACGCTCGTTTCAAGGAATCCTGCTCGAAATTCTACGTGTTTAGAAAGGAATGTACCGTGGACACGACGGTAAAAATAATACTCGAAGGACAAAAAATTGTACGTAATGGAACGTACCCGTTAAAAACACGGTTTTTCTTGAAAAATTCGAACCAAAAGGTTCGCGATAGTGAACGCATTAAAGTATTAAAATAATTTTGAAAATAGTGGTACCTCCACGTTCCTGATGTTTCGACTTATACCAAACCAACCTTTCTCATATTTTGTTATATGATCAACTCCGAATATAATTGATTATTAATTTAATTTTACCTCTGAGATAATTATTTCAAAATATACCGAGGAAAATTTGTATTCCAAATATTCCACTGTATTACTTTATATTCTTTGGTCTAATAATTCGAAAAATTATATGGTTTGATTGAATGGGTGATTCATAGTTATCCAAGGCTTCCGTCTCGACGGATTTGCCTCGAGTGCAGCAAGGATGCACTGGATCAACGCGTGCACTTTAAATGTTCGAATGAATGTCTCCTTTATGCACTTGCTGCGTCGTGCCTGACTCACGATGCAATTCGCCTGTTCAGGGCTGCAGTTGCATTTCAATTCGTTCGTTCACTGTCACGGTGCAATTAAACGCATTGAAACTATAATAACAGTACCTCTGCATAATGCAATGATTATTTTTAACGAATAAATTTTACTCGTCGGGAAGATTAGACTGTTAGGGATAACAGTATTGATAACGTTATCGATAATCGATATCATCGCCCGGAACGTTAACTTAAATTTATTAACTTCCTGTGCCATTGCATTTTTTCTCCATTAGAAGATAATCGTTGGGTGACAAAAAAAAAAGTCCACCCACAAATGAGTCACCCGTTATTTACTCGAAATGAATTTTACTTTTTTATCGCAAGTTAGTCATTATAATTATATTATTTTCTAAATGAAACGAAGGAAGAAACCCGAGGAAGAGTTAGAAATTTCCTGTGATTCAGCATCGAAACGATAGACGAGGAAAACGGAAACACGTACTCGGAGGCACGTTTTTTATTCACCGGAATATTAATTCCCTTTACACGATGCGGTTAAATAACAGTATCACACGACGTTACAGTCACCAGCCAGGTCAATCCCCTCGGACATCATCATTTGTCCAATTTACAGTTCGTCAACGTGCGAATCTGCTCTTTCTTCCCTTTGTATAAAATTAATTAGACACACGTGTGAATTCATTAAAGATTGGAATCAGGAATATGTTGAGTCTCTGAATCTTGTAAATTTTTGGGATGAAAAATTTCAATCAATATCAAAGAAACTTGCTAATTAAATTTTCCTAATCTGTTCCAGAACTACCTATCTCAATTCGGCTATTTGCAACCAATTAATCCAACGAGCGGTGGAATTATATCTCAAGATACACTGTCGAAAGCAGTCGCCGAATTTCAATCTTTCGCCGGGTTAAATATAACAGGTAAGTGTTACATTGAATTAACGAAGGAAAAAAATAAGAAAATATCAAAAGTGGGAAACGAAGAAACTCAATTGATGATCTCTTTATCACCTTCTCGTATTATATCTAAGCGTAAATTGAGTTTAACGATTGTCGTGAGTCCTTATGTACGTGAATCATACCCACGGATGCATTCGTTCATGCATGACTCACCTAAAGCCAGATGCAATATCAAATTTGCCACATAGAAGGTAATTAAATTAATTGTAAATCGCAATGACAAACATCGTTGCACTGTATCAGAGTCCAGTTCCAAGAGTCGTTCCCTATACGTGAAAAGAATGAAAGTACGTCATTACTTGATTCAAAAGAATCAATTATTATCCGCGAGTGATTTGAATGAAGAAAACAAAAATCTTATTATCTTGGGAAGAATAAAGAGGATTCGATGAATTTTGATTCAGGGACGAAAAATAATTTTTAAGATTAATTTCAATACAGAAGAAAAACGACAGCAGAAATTCCAACAAAGGAAATTTCCTGAAAAGGCTCGAATCGATTTGCGATGCATAAAAAGATCACACGCGTCTGCTTGCACTTTTCCAATATACTTGCCCGACCGGATTCGAATAAAGAGATGATTTTAAACGTTCCTAGACCTTGAAAGACCGGACACCAGTTTGACCGTTCGTCCGGCTGAAAACACGTGTGCGATTTTCGAGGTGAAAAGGATAAATTGAAACGGAAGGAAAATCGACGACGAACGAACGTCAAACATCGTCTGGGTGTATCGAGAGGATCATTTAGCGAGGAACGCGGCTATTGAAAGAAGAGTTTTCGAGAAGCATTGCCAAGGCTCGAGCCTTGACACACCGACGACTGGGCAAACAAGCCGGACACGGACGAACAAAGAAGCAAATTATTGTTTCCGCTTTGGATTCCGTGGTTGGATACAAAGGTGGCGCGAGGGAATGGCACCGGCCGAACTGATAACCCGTTATCACCAGCGACAAGCAATTTTCTAACCGACTAACTAGACGCTGATAACAAAGCCACTTTGTCATCGATCGTTTCAAATGATCAGAACTAACAGCTGATTGATAACAATCTGTTTTGGATGTTTTATCGATTCACTGATAACTTGAATTCTAATGAAATATCAAAATGAAAATGATATGAAACATAGAATAAAATTACAATTGGGGCTCTCTCCATGGTCCGTCGTCGAAAAGTTAACTCTTTGAGGCACACGATTTTAAAGAAAATAAAAACCCTTGTTGCTCAGAATTTTTTTTTTTTTGGAAAAAGTGAAAAACAAAAAAAAACATTCATTTCAATTATTTAACATGACTATGAGTAATTTCGACTTGTCGAAGTGTGTTAAAATATATCCCACCATGCATAAAAGGCTAAGCAAAAGGTGGGTCAGTTTTTAACCCATCTAACCGTAAAGAGTTAAAATGTATTAAATAGATATAGAAAAATGCAGCCAAACGTGAGAGTGAATAAGGTAAAAAGAAGAATGAAAAACCGGAAATGCTTTGTTTTATGGCGAAAAATAACGCCAGACAGATCAGGCAGACCCTCTCGGATTCTGAATGATGATACTCTGAACGAATGACTCAGAGTTCGGTGAAATGAGGTAGATTCGTCAGTGGCGCTAAAAAAATGATTCACAACGTGATGACTGAAACCTTGTCGTCAGGGCACGTTTTTTTAATCGCATAAAGAAAAGTATATTTCAATAGCAGGAATTTTCAACTAGAAAAGATGAACGTGCATAATAATTTCTAACAGATCGGTTGACAAAGAATCTGTCGGGTTTTTCTAGCCAGAGAATGGATTCTCCGACCAGAACGGACAATCAGTGACGCAAAAATTCGTCGATCGTTACGAAAATAATGGTAAAAAAGTTGGGATTTCACAGAAGAAAGGATTTCACTAATGTTGCTTCATTCTATTCGGCTGAATATTGGAGGAAATTAAGCTAAACGATAAGAACAATGAAACTTTGGAAACTTTGGAGTGTGAAAGAAATAGGATGATTGAAAAATAATGATTGTTGGAACAACAAAGATTTACATAAGCACGTGTTCGGTATAATAATGATTAACAGTATCGTGATGAGTAGGTACACGAATCAGCATGTAACTAACATGTAAAACGATTGTGTTCTAATCTCTGATTACCATAATCATTGTTATCGCTAGACAAATGATCATTCGTTTTCCATAGTTAAATGGAACACCTTCGATGGTTGAAACTTCGTTAACTATTTTGTATTCTTCGTGCAGACAATTACAAACGTGATATGTATTTCAATCTTGTAATTAAAAATGTTTATACCTATACAATTATATATTTTTTTACTTATAAAATGGATCTGAATTCGGCTCCTTTGAATCTGTAATCAAATACCTTACTCCTTTCGCTTTTATTAATATTTTAATATTTCAATTAAAAAGAAATTGAAAGTAAAGGTTTGAATTTTGAATTTTTAATCACTGTCTAATTATCTGTTTCATTTGCAAGCAGTAGGTGACGCGTAATTAATTTCTAAAATGTTAATTTCTGAAAATATGAACAACGATCTACGACATACTCGATTGAGTTTCCTCTCGACCTCCATTCTACTCAGAACTCGCATCCGACACCAGTCGATCATTCGTAAGCGTATTCAAATCAATCCCGACGATTATTCCGTTAATACACCGTAATTTCCACTCGCGGGAGTATTAATAAACCGTGCAATTTCCAGTCGCGTGACACGGCATACTCGTTTGCACGTGACGCGACGATTAAAGTGTATCGCACACCTGCTCCGATCGAATCGAATAAAAACTATCTCGTAATGAATCAAGAACGCGAACCCGTATAAAATTCTTCTAATATGTTTTAATTATTCGTACGAAGGGATAGATTGATCGGTATCAGTCAGAAATCGATGATGATACTTTGTTATATTTCGTCCCGAGTGTGCAGGCAGCTTAATGCATTTCCATATACGTTGCATTGATGCATATGCACCAAGATACAAGGAAACACACACGATGCACGAATGATCGCGAATAGAAAACGGTACGTGCATACACGCGATCAATAGCGATTTCAACCTACATTTGATACACGAATGATACATTAGATGCATAAATAGGTAAGGGTCAAAGTGGGACCGTAAAATGTAATGATTGAAACAAGCGAAGAAACGAAGCAAATAATTGTTGGGTGGTATTAAAATAGAAAATTTTATCTGTTTTCAGGAGAATTCGACGAAGAAACGTATAAACTTATGACACTACCAAGGTGTGGTGTTAAGGACAAAGTTGGACCTGGATTTGGAAGATCGAAGCGCTATGCTCTTCAAGGTAGATAATTGATTATTTTCTAGTATTTTGTAGGAAATTGTAACTAGTTTTCCATGGTATTAACGAAATTTTTGAAATTCACGAAATCACTACCGGATTAAGGGTAGGTCTAAGGGGCGCCCTTTTTCTTTACAATTAAATTTGATTTAAGCTTCGATACCTCTGGGCTTCAGAAACCTTGTTCCGCTATTGCACCCATCACATAACATTCGACCAATTATTCGATTACCTAATCGACTCGTGTCTGTAGGAACACACGTGAAATAAAAAATTTCAAAACAATTCGCGATCAAACTATTTGATCCGAAGAACTATTATAATAAAAATCGTATAGAAAAATATATAGATACTTGAAAAAATGATTCGACCAATAGAATATTTCACGGTACAAGGATTGTTTAGTACACTAGTGTTACTTTTGACTTCCTGCCTCATTACCGTCAATGTAGAATCAGTCACCCTAAACAGGTCATGCACATTTATACCGCAGCCATTTGTCGGACGGTCTGAATGCATTTTTTAACCATCGAATTTGTTCTAAATGCACTTCCGAAATCTGAATCAACATAGATCATTAATAACCCAAAGAGAGTTCTAGAGAATTTCCTTCCAGACTCGAATCCGTCAATGAAAAGTCATCGCAATTGTTCTTTGACCCCGTTAAAATTAACAATGATCAGAGAAATCACGCCAATTTTCCCATAACAGCGATTCCCGCTAATTAATTGCAACCTATAAGGCGACCGTTCTCTTTTCATCGACCCGTTCTTCCTAGAAGAGAAAAATAATCAACTGTTGATTCACCGATGCAGCTGACGCATCGAAAAGGCAGGGATATTTTTCGTTGAAATCAACAAGGAATCATTTGATCTATGGATCCTAACCGTGACTTTGAACCTCGCGAAAAGGCTCGCCGATTCAGTGAACCAGCGGATCAGCCAGCCGTACATCCTATGGAATTCCATGTAATACTAGGGCTAAGTTTGACCCATTAGAGAACTACATTAGAGATTCCCATCGCAGATTACAGAATTACACAAAGGGCCCACCAATGAGCTGGAAAATTTTACTACACCAGTCACCGATGATTCTATTTATAATAAAATTTGTTATTGCAACCTTACATGTTGTATGCATCGCATACAAATGCATTTTGGTTACAAATCGCTATAACGAAAGAATTAATAATAGAGACACGAATGATGATCGTCCTTGGTCAGTGAAACCTTGCCTACTGGATCTGTCGTTTGCTGGAGATAATAGATTTATAAGAAGATGACGAAGCAATCTTGAACGATCATCTGTAATTAAAACTATCATTTTTCCAAATATCAAATCCTACGCTCGATCAACAATTCCTTCAATCAGAGTTTAATAATAAATCGTTGCACAATAATTGTTGTACAAAGCGTTATATAAACAGTTAAGAAGGTATTCCTCTTAAAAATGATAAATTATGAAAATACCAGGCTGACGATCATCGAAGGACGAGCATCATGAACAAATCTTGACGTTTCTTTTTTAACGTGATAATTTTGGGACAGGTTCGAGATGGCGCGTGAAGAAATTGTCTTACAAGATCAGCAAATACCCAAGAAATTTACCGCAGCACAAAGTTGACATCGAATTGAACAAAGCTTTCAAAGTGTGGTCGGATTACACGGATCTCTTGTTCGTTCAAAAGAAGTTGGGCCAGGTGAGATGGATAATATTTATCTCGATTAAGTGGCGTGGGAGTAAGAAGATTAAAAATAATAAAAAAATAAAATATTTCTAATTGAATTTTCCATAGGTCCATATTGAGATTAGATTTGAGAAAGGCGAACATGGTGACGGAGATCCTTTCGACGGGCCTGGTGGCACTTTGGCGCACGCTTATTTCCCTGTTTACGGTGGCGATGTCCATTTCGATGACGCCGAACAATGGACCATCGACAGTTTTCGCGGTACCAATCTCTTTCAAGTAGCCGCCCACGAGATTGGCCATTCCCTTGGTTTGAGTCATAGCGACGTTAAGTCCGCCTTAATGGCACCCTTCTACCGCGGCTACGAACCCTATTTCCGGTTGGACGACGACGATATTCAGGGTATTCAGGCAAGTATCATCGCTCGCTTCTCTCATCGATACGCGCTTCTTGGAAATATTCACGAGAAATTCTATCCTTTTTTTACAGGCTCTGTACGGAAGGAAAACGGTGAGTACCAGCGGTGTTCCGACCGGACCAAGATTCGGAACTACCACTGTACCACCTCCAAGTGAAGAAGACACGGAACTTTGTACCGATCCAAAGATTGACACGATGTTCAATTCTGCCGAGGGACACATGTATGTGTTCAAAGGTACGAATACTATTTCTAATTGTTCTCTAACTCTCATGGTAGGTAGCAGAATTATATAAAAAGAAACTGATTTTTTAATTATAAATTAATAAATAAATTTCAGCCGATCGTTACTGGAGATTAACTGCCGATGGTGTAGCAGTCGGTTACCCTAAACTGATTTCACACTCGTGGAAAGGATTGCCAGGAAACATAGACGCCGCGTTCACTTACAAGAACGGGAAGACTTACTTCTTCAAGGTAAAAAGAAGAACTTATAAATGTCACCTAATTTCCTATGCTGAACTTACCGTTCAAATATAAACGATTATGTTGTTACAGGGCTCAAAATATTGGAGATACGTGGGGAAGAGAATGGACGGTGACTACCCGAAGGAAATCAGTGAAGGTTTCACAGGAATTCCTGATAATATCGATACAACGATCGTTTGGACCGGAAACGGGAAGATCTATTTCTACAAGGGTAGCAAATTCTGGAGGTTCGATCCCACGCAGAAACCACCAGTGAAGGACACATATCCTAAACTGATCTCGAATTGGGAAGGCGTTCCGGACAATCTCGACGCCTCTATTGTCTATCGTGGTCACACTTATTTCTTCAAAGGAGACGCTTATTACAGATTCAACGATAGGACATTCTCTGTGAGTACCTTTCTTACATTTAAATTGTAAGTATCTTTGAAATTCGATGGTTAGTACAAATATATAAATTCAATGTTTTTAAGATAAAAGCCACTTACTTTTAGTTGATCGACGATGATGAATGTTTAGGTGGACGTTGCTGACCCAGCGTTCCCGAGGGCAACGGCCTACTGGTGGTTCGGTTGTAGATCAGCGAACAAAGGAACATTAGGTAATGTCCAAGGGCTCCGTGAGAATCCTGACGATTCATTTCTGCATGCCGGCATCCTGGAGTCCGTCGACGGCGACTTTAGCGATGACGGTGATAGAGACGGTGACGTCGGGGACATCATTTTAGACGCAGGTACGAAAGCTTCATTCGAGCCAGACCAGATTCTTACCTTGCCCTAGAAATATTCATTGTTATTCGCTTCTTTGTCGATCAGAGTACAAGAATATGTAAGTGTTAATTCCAAAATTATATTTATATTTCCAAGTAATGAGATTATATTGTAAATATATGTATATATCTGTAGATGTACAAAAGTACTGTGATCACTCAGTAGTGCATAATTGTAATCATAAACTTATTACACTTCTATATAAGAGGTTTGAAGTGGTAATAAGTGGACTATGATTACATAAAAGCAAAAAAGGCGAGGATACAGTATCTGGTGTCTCGAAAACCTGGCTATTATATACCTAGGGCTTTCAATCATCGAAGAAATTTGTGCATGCAATAATTCATTTAAATACTATTTTCTAATAATACACAATGTTCAGACAATACTCGATAATAATTTTAAAACACGACTAATAGAGGTATTTCATTCTTAATTACAACAATCATTATTAAAGGTTCCAATTATCATGATACATACCAATTACTGCACAATACACAATCATTTGAAGGTAAATTGTAAATTAGTTTGCACAGACTTCTTTGGTGAATATGAAAATTAAAAATGTAATAATCATCTTGATTTGGGTGTTTCATGGTGGTAATACTAATATTAAAGTTGAATCATTAACGAACATAAAATCATTGAACATCATTGAAAATAAGATTATTTTGATAATGAATTCATGAAATCACTTTAACACGTCGTTACTTCATTTACCATTCGTGTTTTGTCGAATTGCATATGAGCAGAAATATTAACAGCCATTTAAAGAAAGTGATTTTTCTAAACAAAAAATTATTGATTTATTTTCTGCCAATATGCAAAAGTATTATTTTAATTATTTTTATTCAAGTTCTCCTGTATGTAAATAAACATCCCCTCCATAATCCCCTTAAATTTTGAATAAACTTTCCAATAAGAAAATCATTCGAAAAGTTATATTCGTATGCGATCCAAAGCCCGAAGTATTTATTAGCCAGGCTGGAAATGAAGTTTTGTACATCTTCGAAGAAAAACGAACAAAAGAAAATCATATCTTGTATTTGTCGCGTTGCCTACCATTAGTAAAAATGGATACCATTAAAAGTATCGTCTGTCACCGTCGCCGGACCCGGTTTGCTGAAAACAGTAAATATTACAATGTTAATTCTTTTTTGTTGCTTAATACCAGCATCTTACTTTTCTTTATTTTTCTTACTCACCTTTCACTCTTCTCTTCTCTGATTATTCTTCTCCTGTAAATCCTCATTCCACTTCGAACGAATTCCAGTTGAACTCATCTATCGCGTCTCTACCAAGCACTTCCGGAATCATCGATATTTACATTCGACACAAATTTGCACGCCTTGTTTTCACTAACACTCTTCGTTTGGTGTCTCGGTAACAGCTCGAAAGAAGCAAACGTTTATAAATACTATTTTTAACTACTTACCAAATAATTGAAAATTGTTTCTCAAACAAAATAGTATTTTACTTAACCGATTAAATCAGACCTGTCGACGCGAGCTCTCGGCGCCAAATCACTTCCCCCACTCTCGTCTCGTTGCCATGGTATTCAAGCAACGGCCAATCAGAACGTGGCGAACAAAAATTTGTTTTCGTCAGTATCCATATTTGACTTTCCATATTGTAAATTTAACTTTTCATATTGTAGAATTTTTATATAAACAATTTTGTTACATTTTCAATGATTGATACGTTGTAAGACATTAAAATAAATATAAGACTCTTCCGATAACAAGCGAGTTGGATACCCCAGAGAGCTCCACCTGTTGACAGATTTGTGTTAGATCAAACCACTGTAATGCATATTATACATTTATCAATAATTTTGCACGAATTTTTGCATCAGGATGTATCACAGCACGAATCGAGCAATAAAATGTGTATGTGTAACACATACACGCGTATAGCACGTAAAGAAATCTATAAACGGTGCATGGTAAAACTATACGGAGGATGGTTGCGTTGTTTGGAACTTGATCTATCGTAGGACAGTACAATCTCCCTCTTTTCCCGCTTCTTAACCAAAAAGTAAACCGAACCAACCTTCGTCTCTGCGATCCCATTTCTTTTTCCTTTTGTTTTTCGTTTCTTATTTAAGATTTCTTTTCTTCTTTGTACCCATATACATTACGCACGTACACACTTTCCACGTGCACGTATTTTCGTTTACTTCTCTTACACACGATTTACTTGCACGAGTATTTTAATTTTACGATTTCGTTACACGAGTAATAATCATTTTGTTACACGGGGCATGTTATATCCTCAGTTCTCTTCTTGCACTCACTATATTTTCGGGTAATCCTTGGTACGGTTTATGTAGCAGCTACTATTACTCATAATTTTATTTATTTCTTTAAGTAAGAAATCTTCTAAGACAAGTTATTACAGATTTTTGATTACTCAAGATTTTTGTGCACAAGAAGATGTCAATTTTGTTATGTTATTCCTTAAATATTTTTGTTCAATTTTTTTTTTTTTTTTTAATGAACATTCTCGGTTTTTGTGTTGAACACCTACGTTATCAATATTGTTTATTCCCGAAAGATAGATCGTTTAATCAATATTAATTCAAACTGATAATGATCTTAAAAGCCCCTAATGGAAACGAAGTTTCCGAGAAACACAGAAATCTTAAATTTTAAACGAATAACCTTGTCAGTTGTACTTACCGACAGAAACGCTACTGTCAAATTTTGACAAAATCGTGACGTGATTAAGACGTTGACGAATTTCGAAACGAACATTCACAGGAATTGCGTATAATACGCGTCCACGAAGAGTCGCAGTTCCATTAACCCGGAAAAAACTCGCTTTTCCAGAGGACAACAATCTGCACTCCGAATCGCGCGGGTTCGGGAAAAAGTGAAGGGACGAGAATGAAAACTTGTTCGTTCGAGGAATCGTTGAGTCGTAAACTCGGGTTAGAAGGCAATAAAATGGGACAAGAAATAATCAAGGGGATTAAATAAAAGGGTTCAGGAAGCACAGTTCACGGATATGTCGTACGAGAGACATAACTAAGTTCCAAACAACGACAACGATCTGCGATCGTAACCTACGATTCAACTTCTGTTGTTTTACGCGCGAACCTATGTTGGTGCAGTGAACCATCCAATCAGCGACAATTCTTTTAACATTACGTGTGTCCCCTCTTCTACGATTTTAATAAAATTCGACAGGCGAAACGGACGAGCAGCTAGTCACGTCGTCCAATCAGGATGCAGGCTCCGCGGCGGGAAGCGTTTTCAAACGGTCGATATGGTGGTATCTTCCGTTCAGTTTATTGACTATGATCATCGCTAAAATCATTGCCGCCACGTAGAAAACGTTTGTGGAGATCGATCATTAAGCGATGGAATCATCGATGAAAGGATGTACACCAGTAACATATTTGAACTGACTTCTCAAACGGGAAATGTGTTAAGTATGTTGAACACAGCGAAGGGAAAACAGTGCCAAAATGGCTAATTCATGCTCACAGATAATGAGCTGTATTTTTTTTCTTCGATATTAATGAACAAGCTGATTAAAGATTGTTCATTTATTATCTTATTTCTCATAAAACAATCATTCCATTCGAAGCAATGTTGCGCGAACAGTTGAAAACTGTTGCTTCATTCGTAGTCTGTATGCGTTTTGCAGTATGTTTTATAAGATGTGTTTCAGTCGACGATGTTTCCGTTTCGTTATTAGATTCGACGCATCTTACAGGACATTCTGTACATATGTAACATACACGAGAACATGTAAAATATGTTTATACATAATATTTTAAGTCGCATGCAACGTTGTGTCATCAAACCCTTTTACACTGCCTATTTATTCTTTATTCGTACATCATGGTTTTCTGTATACATAGTAATTGTTGAAGGCACTTATCTTGCGTATTCATTGCAGAATGTAAATTTTCTAAGAACTGAAATATGTTGTTACATGACAAATAGGAAATAAAATGAATGGTCAATTGGTTTCTTGACTGACCAGTATTATGAGTATTATAGAATTTTTGTGTTTTTTTTCTCATATAAGATATAAATATTTGTCAGAATGTAAGGAAATGCGAAGTGTTATGAAAGTGCATGAGAATGCACTTTAGAATTTTATGTTATTAACGTTAAAACTTGAATGTATAGAAGCATCTATAGTACTCATTGTAATGATTCCAGTAAACGATATTTATCTTCCTGGTAAATGCCTTAAAATGTTCTGTAAACATTATGAAGTGTAGCTTTCCTGCATAAATTTGTTATTAGTGTTTATTAACAATAACTAGACTTATTCTACTTATAAATGTTTAATATGAAATGTTTTTTACCTTTAAACCAAATTTTTCTTCATTCTTTTCATCTTGTGTCATACAAAATAATACTATCATAAACAATGTTGATAATAGTTACGTATTACGTCTTAGTACATGAAAAAGAGCAGCTGCTGTCATTTTGAAAACAGTACATATCCGTTCATGAAATCCTAATCGCATTACCATATGTTTCATTACATTCGAAAAACTGTTTCCATAACTTTATTATAAATAATCAGTTAAGTACTTAAGAATTACCTAGCATTTAAGTATGAAGCATAAAAAGCCTTGTACAATTTTTTAATACTTGTTAAATAAATCGTTTTTTGGAAAAAAAGGTGTAACACATGTAAAAATTTTGTATTTATAACACTTAGATAAAAATTTTTAAGTATATAAATATAACATGTGATGTACAAGGCTTTATCTTTTTCTTTATCTGTGTTACATTTTCTATCAGGGCACTAAAATGATTCACATTGAAACTTGCCACATTTTGCTATACTCTGACATTGTACAGTATCAATAAAACATCAGTTTATTTTAATTAACATTTATTGTAAAAGTTAAGTAAACATCTGATCACTACCAAATTATTTTTATTGCTTAATACTTTACATTATAAAATATGAATTTTAATAAAAAAAAAGTGCATAAAATTATTTATATTAAATAAATGTACTAATTATTAAGATCGTTTCTTTTTTTCAATTTTAATTAAAGTTTTATCTAAGGTAACTTTATACGTTAAAAGTTTAGAATACCTTTCAAGAAGCTTTTTCCAGAACTGTATGATATCAGTCATCTTCAAATTATTCCATATAAAATCCCGTCCATAGTCGGCAATCTTTTTTGACAATTCGTCATTATCGACTGCAAATTGTATCAACTTTCTGTACACATCAAAAGATATGAAAATTACTATACTCTATAAAATATATTAAGTAACAGTAAAAAAATGGATAAGATCTTACTCTAATTCTGTTTGATCAGCATCTTTAGGAACAGGTATGTAATGAATCCAAGGTATCATTGCTTCATAATAAAATTCAGTCCATTCGTCCCCAACATGAAATACTAGAGATCTACACAAAAATAAATGTTTGTGCCTGAATGATGCTGCAACACCTCGGTAATTGAATAAGTATTTATATTTACAGTGAGCTTCCAAAGAAACTTCTGAAGCTGGAGGTACATGCAATGTGTCCTGTAATAAAACATAACATTATTCTTCCTGTATATACCCATATACGCTTTTGAAGCGAGAAACCAGCGTAAATATAAATATTAAAGCTTTGTTACTTCATCAGACTTCCATGCTTGATTTTTTGTATACTGAGCATCTATTAAATCAGGTTTTTTGCGGCTTAATAGCACCAAATTATCACGCTCTGAACTCGTTCTAGAACCTCTGAAAAATGCTTTATTCTCTTTCTTTTCCCATGGTATACTTTTACTAGCTTTGTCTAAAGATACACGATGTTCATCCCATCTTCCAAGGCCACGGGGATATAAAGAAATTGCAGGACCACCTTCCCAAAATGACCATGCTGGATATGTAATGTCATAATATTGTGGTGTCTATAATATTTTACAATACTCAAAAATCTTTCACAAATAAAATATAGAATTTTACAAATTTAAATTGTTTACCTTACTGAATGAAAACACAGGTAGTGGGCCACCAAAATATTTGTTTGATTGAGGATAATCTCTCACATTTATGACTAAATCCATATCTGGTAATTTAGGAGCTAATTTTAAAAGAAAGTGCTCTACTCCACCACATCTTGATGGAAACATACAATCTTTCTGCCTATATACCTTTCCCTCTACTATTTGATAAAATGTTCCTCTAAAAATTATATCACATTTCAATTAACAGAATTTATCATACTTAACATTAATACACATACCTAGCTTTTGCAGCATCTATTAAATCTTTGTTTATACCTTTTTCTTTGAAAGGTTTCAAATCATGTATAATAACATGTTTAAAACATGCATTGCTAGTATTATTGCAAGGTTGATAATTTTCATTTGTTTCTTCAATTATGTGATGGTATTTATCGTATTGTGCATCTGAACCTGAAAAAAGAGCAGTATTAGAAGAATCATAATTTTTGAACATTATGTTTATAAGTACCTTTTTTATAATTATTAGTTTCTTTTTTAGTAGTGCAACCTTCAACATTATCGATAGGACAATATTGTTCCTCACAATAAGCGATACACAAAAAAATTATAAATGATATATAATTTATTAATGACATATTTTAATTATAAATAAGAAAACAAATCCTGAGTGTCATAACCACGAGTCCTCGCGCTTAAAAGTGGTCAGGTGAAACTAGTGACATCTACTTTACAAATTACACAGTACATACTCGTTCATGATACGATACTAATCACGAAATTATTATCGCTCATTGTAGTTAAATTAAGGATAGGGTATAAGGATAAATGCACGATTTTTTCTTTAAAACTTTATTAAATAAAAAATATATATCTATGCTTGTTCACCAAGCGGCATAGATTTGATAATATCAGAATTTCCTGGATCTGTAATAGAAAGGGTACATACTCGGAAATATTTTCCGCAAGCAGTACCCAATTCTATATTGTTTCCAACATAATGATGTACACCAGTCTTCGCCAGCATAGCATAATATTCTATCTCTGATTTCCTGTTATCAGAAGAAAATAAGAATTTATGAATTTTAAGTTTCCAATTTCTTATATGTATTGTCTCTGCACTTACAAGCAGAGACGTGAGACTACTCCGTAGAACTCCTACTACAAATATGTAAATCAATATGAAAATTATAAAACTTATTTTTCTGACTGATCTTATTTAACACAGATTGATAATTTTCATATTGATTTGTAGGTACTGAAGGAGTACTACATCTCAGTCTCACCTTAATGGAGGAGTGTTATTGGCAATGATGACTAATTTAGCTTTTCCTTGGCGAAGGGATTTCAGTGTCTGCTTGTAGCCTAGGACATATTTTCCTGATTTCATAACCAGAGCTAGTCTGGTGTTGATACCCTCCTGGGACTTTTTCTGTTTAAACAAAGAAACAAAGAGATTTCATATAAATAAAATCCTAAGTTTATACAAATAGCAGTCTAACCTCCATAAAGAAAATACTATAAAGATCTTTTTTAAATACATTTCTTTTGATTTAGAAGTATAAATAAATAAAATGTGTATTGACACGGGCATTTACACGTTATTATATACATGAAAGTAAATAAAAATTACGTTTAATATTGTCTTAAATGAAGACTACCATGTGGCTTTGGAAAAAGTATTTACCTGTTTCTTTTGGGCAACCATGTTTACTGTTTAATAAAACCTATAACAAAAACAAATAATTATACACAATTAGCAACGCATTTTTATAGTTTTATAAAGAATTAGTAACAAATATTCAAATATAATTGTAATACCTTCACACCGAGCCTAGTGCCACCGAACACGGCAAATGTAAGAAAGGTTGGTTAAGCTCTTCTACCGGAAGTTATTCCAGTTCGAGTTCGAGTTCGAGTTCGACCTCAAATTCGATTCCGATTTCGATTTCGAGATTGCTACGAAACATATTTATACCGCAGTTCACCAGAGTCCATAACTGCGATGTGCAGGTTGGAAGATGGTGGGGGAACGCAGCGAGCTCTCTGCTAATCGCTTTCCACTTCGTTTGGGAGTATCGCCAATCAGGGCGAAGATGCGTACTGGACATGCGCGAAGAACGAAAACTGGTCTTTTCGCAGTTATGGACTCTGGTGAACTGCGGTATATATATTTATTATATTATATCAAATAAAAAATAATGATTTCTGTATGATTTATCTAATCATTGGATGTATACAATTTTTTGCTATTAAACTGAATGATAAAATTGTTCCTAATCCTTTATTCATTATTCAACTTCTTTTTACCTATAGTTTTATGAATACAACCTTTATGATTGTAATCAAATCTTGTAATTTTGAAATACAATGGAAATTATGAACAGTCGGATTTGTCTTATTTATAAAATGAATGAAAGGGCGTAGAATAAAATATGTTTCAGCGTAAAAATGTCTTAGAAAATCAATACGATCAATGAGAAACACTCAAAAAAGGAAATGAGAGAGTAAAATCAGAATATTGTTCTGTAAATATGATAACAGATGTGAGCGAAATATTGACGTTATCAAGACACCTGGTAATAATCATATTTGTACGTATACATTTTGTTTTATCAGCTCTATTGTTTATATAAACTTTATCAAACCGTTCGTTCTTTAACAACGCCAACGTTTGTTATTTATAGGTAATATTATAAAAATTTGTAAGCATATGTTTTTATTTTTTATATAATAAAATCAAACGTTTTCACAGGAAACATATGTAATGATAATATTAGAAAATAAAAATTGACAAGCAGAAGATTTTTCTTTAAAAACTCATCATTTTTTGCAAAATTAAAGAATTTAATAATGATCAGTGTTATTTTGTTTTAGAAATATTTATAACATGGAACTTAAATGTAAAGTACAGACTTATGATTGGGGAAAACATGGTATCGATAGTACAGTTGCAACTTTAATGAAATCTGCCAATTCAGATTTTGTATTAGATGAAAAAAAACCATACGCCGAATTATGGATGGGTACACATCCCAATGGTCCTTCATTCATGAAAGACTCAAATATATCTTTAGAGGAATATATAAAACAAAATAGTGAAGTATTAGGCAGTGATACTCTAAAAATATTTAGCCAACAACTACCATTCCTTTTTAAAGTATTATCTGTGAATAAAGCATTATCGATTCAGGCACATCCACATAAGGTATATTAAATATTTACTTGTTCTATTTCTGTTCTACAGTGCAATGTTAAATATTGTTACAGGAAAAAGCAATAGAGTTGCATCAACAGTATCCTACTATTTACAAAGATGCAAATCATAAACCTGAGCTTGCAATAGCATTAACACCATTTGAGGCTCTCTGTGGTTTCCGTCCAATTAGAGAGATAAAAGAGTTTTTAAAAATTCTTCCAGAATTACGTGCTGTGATAGGAGAAGATAAAGTACTTAAATTTATGACAATAGATGAAACTGGTATTAGCAAGGCTTTGAAAACATGTTTCCATAGTCTAATGACTTGTGATCCTGGTTTGATAGCACTGCAACTTAGAAAATTACTTGATAGATTATCTAATTTAGGTAAATTATATTAAGAAATAAATATTTATAATAATAGTAAATGCAATGTTTTAAATTAAAAAAAAAAAACTTTTTAGATGAGTCATTAAGACAAACTTTACATGCCAGTTTACTAGAAAGACTGTACTTAGATTACCCTGCAGATGTAGGATGTTTTGGCATTTATTTTTTTAATTTTGTAACAATGCAGCCTGGTGAGGCTATATACCTTGGACCAAATGAACCACATGCATATCTTTCTGGTGGTAAGTTTATTAAGACACATATGTATAATATACTATATTATAAGTTTGAAAAATATGTTTACAGATTGCATTGAATGTATGGCATGTTCTGACAACGTAGTGCGTTCCGGGTTGACTCAAAAATTAAAAGATGTGCCAACATTAATTGAAATGTTAACATATAATTGTGAACCAATTTCTGCAAAAAAATTTCAACCTTCTCGCGAGGACGAATGTACCGAAGTATTTCGTCCTCCTGTATCAGATTTTGCGGTTGCCAAAATTACAGTAGGTTCTCTTATTAAAATGTTTTTCATAACTTAGTTATTGATAATGTAAAAATGATAATACATTTTAGATACCTCCTGGAAGATCTTCATATAATATAATTCCGAGGAGTACAGCTAGTATTTTAATCATTATAAACGGTAAAGGAGAAATTTCATCGTCGAAAATTCTTTATCGGGGATCTGTTATATTTATTGCTGCAAATGAAGAAATCGGAATTAAAGTTTTATGCGGTTGTCATCCGATGTTAATGTTTCAAGCATTTGTAAACGTTTAAGGTAACTTTGGAATATTCAATTTATTCCAAGGGTAACTTTAGAGTATTCGGAAGAAAAAGTGTGATAAACGGTAAAATTGCACGCACAAAGTATCATTGCACTTTTTAATGCTTTTTAGACTAAAGCTAAAGCTGTTAAATCTTTGATCTTTGAATTTTATCAGTAGTTATAGTTGAAACTAAAGGTTAAGAAATGTTATTTACTATTCTTCGTTTTAATAGAATAGAAACATTCCATAGTTTATATCGGATACTAGGAAGTAGAGTTGATGTGTCTATACATCATGTTTCCAATATTAATGCATGAATGTATAAAAATTACGAACATGTTTCAGTTATATTGGAAGTGTTTACCAATTACAATTCCTGCCATACACGTATTATAATGCATTTTGACTTTCAGTTAACATTATTGATGTTAAATAGTATTTGTTTATATTATAAAAAATGATCATTTTCCTTTCTTTAGATTACTATCCTAATTCAGAAAGGTATACCAACTTATACAGTAATATACTTATGCATTTCTTGTGTCAAAACATGTATTTTTATATTTGTATTATTTATAATGATACAGAAAAGACACAATTTTATTGTTCATCCCAATGCAGTAACAAAATTTAATGTGCAATCAACTCTAGTCAGGTTATGTTAACTATTATTATACGTGCAAACAGATTGTATTAAGTCGTGGATTCTCATTTTATGGTACTACATAGCAAAAGAACGTATAAACTTAAGCCATTTAAATAGCATTTAAAGTTATCATTCCATAATATTTTTATTTATGGAAAACTAGAAACGTTGTTTTTATTTCTATTGTATGTAAGATAGTAAACAAGAATAAAAATAATTTTTAAAATATTTTAATGTGTGTAACAACACATAGTGCCTTTTATTTACAGGATTAGAAATAGCTAAAATTCGTGTAACAACTATTGTACTTTAATAATGCAATGCATCTTTTTTTTTATATATAGAGTATAAACATTTACTTTACAGGATTACAATTTTATTTTATGATCTAGCAATTTATATCATAATAAAAAATTTTTAATTGTAGTATAATAGAAATAATTGATTTAATTATTAATCGTGTTTAGTCAAAAAATAGAAGAATAATTTAATTACCTTGTTCCCTTCTTAATAAGAACATAAATGTACAATATTTAAAAAATTGTCAAAGTCATGTTTATGTTGCACAGCCTTAAGTTTAAGATATTGTATTTTACTTTTAACTTTACTTTAAATAAATGAAAACTAAATAAAAATGATATACAAATACCATGAATTAATCGTCGTCTGATTCATCATCTTTTTTCTGAGCATTTTCGGAAGATTTTTCTTCTTCTTTATAATGCCGGTATTCCGGTTTTAACTCCCACATGTTTCTATGAGGATTTTTTAGATTATAATTACAAACCTCATTCAATATTTCTTTTAAGTACACCTAATAAAATGAACAAACTTAGAAGTTGTGTATGTAATTAGATATTTAAAAGTGGATACATGTACTTACAATAGGTTGTCTTGTAATTTTCACAAGATCTCTTATGTTATAATACTGGTGTTTCTCAAATGCAGCAAACAACATATCTAATACTGTGTTCTTATCTTCTCTCATCTTCTTACCCTCAGCCTTCTTCTTTTCTGCATATTCAATCTGCAAGATACATAAACATTAGTGTATGTTAAAATAATGTACTTTAATTTTACAATTTCTTAATAAAGTACTCACATTATGTTTGTGATCAGAAACAGGCTTATAATTTTGAACTACCCTATCTAATTGTTGAACCTGTCTCTGTGGCACAGAAGCTCTCTTAATACTCTGTAGTTTCAACTTCATATAACAATTATCAGCTAAAAATAATGCAAATATATGAATATTATGTTAGATTTTTAAATGTTTTATAATGAACTCCTTACCATATGGTCTACATTCCAATTTTTGTACAATTCTGCCTTCCATGTAAAGTTTCTCAGTTTCAGGAACAATAGAATCCGAACTACTTGATGCTAAAGAAAAATCACACTTTTAAAACATTGATTAATCAAATGATTGATGCAACAGTTAATTGTGACTTACGTGTAACATGAGAAAATACACCCAACATTTGTTTTGTCACTGTTGTAACATCTAATCTATGTTGTTTTGGAATTTCTTCCTCTCCTGGCTCTTTTAATGCTAATACAGCTTCAGATAATCTGAGAGATACTTCTGCCTTTTGACCAGGGTTTCTAATAACATATTCAAACTATAATATATATATTTTCATAAAATTACAGTACTGAAACAGACACAAAATTGAAGGAAACCTACTTCGTTATTTTTAATTTTCCAACTTCTATATTGCCAGGTGCTTTTTCCCATTTATTTGCTATGTATTTAGGTACTTTGACAAGCCATACACCTCGGCCGGCATTACTTAAATCTAATTCTTTTTCCGTATGCGGAGCAGTTCCTGACATAATTACTTTTTTAGAAACGAGGTATGTATCGCAAGATAAATAAAATTGTACTACGAATAACGCTCGATACGTTTATATTTCGTAAATCTTTGTATGTACAAATATGTATATATTTCACAAACATATAAATAGAATCAAGTCCTGATTATTCTAGTTTAATAAAAAATCATTTAAATAAAGATTGTATCAGTTAAAATAATATTTGTTACTTCATAAATTATAAGAACTTATCTACTGTGCTGTAAAAAAATAATTATATTTTTTTATTTAGTAATGGTTTAGAGCAATGATTATAGATAGTTAAGACAGTATTATGTACTATCAGAAGCAGATGCTGTACGACAGGAACTTGAACTTAGAATTCAAAATAAATATTATAACTAATTGTTTAATTATCCTATGTTTGTAATACAGAATTGAAATAAATATTAAAACTTTAATACAGTAAGCATTGTTGCTTATATTTTTAATTTAATTGTCTAGCAATAACTTATTGTTTCATGTGATAAGGGTTTTAAGATGCAATAAAATATTTACATGATATTAATAAGTTATTGTTTTTATAGGTCCCTTATTAACTTTTAATAATAATTCATTGAATAATACATTAATTATTATACACTGAAAGCGTATATTCTAATTAATATTTTAAGCTTGGTAACCTTTGTGAAGGTATGATGCGTAATACTTTATGTGCTTAATAAGCAATTGAATTATTGAGAATTAATTGTTCATCCATAGTAATACTTCTAAACTATCAGTACGTAATGTTAATTAAGTGAAATTTATTTTCAAAAATTGAAAATAGATGTATCGTGTATATTCGTTACATACCATAACCTTACTAACAAATTTTATTTTTATAAAATGTAATTATTTTTGTAGATACTGTAATGGCATCCACATGTATGATTATAAGCCGACAAATTTCAACCTCGTCTGTTCGTCATGGTAAACGAAATTTTCGAATGATACAGATATATAATAAACGAGGTAGTCGACTATTTAAACAAGAGCAAGCTAAAAATCCAGATTCTGATATTCCAATTGATAGTAAGTATTTCTAATTGTATTACTGAAATAAAGGTAACTAGCAGTTTATATTTTATTTGAAAAATGTTTTCAGGAAGAGGAACAAGACTAACAGGGAAAAGAATAGGTAATGAATGGGTTAACATACCAGAAATGATACCAGAGCTTGTTGTTCCTTCTATGAAAAATTTTAATCTAAAGCCATATGTTTCTTATAATTGTATGGATGTTAAACAGCGCGAATTCACTGCCAAAGACTTATTCAATTTCGTATATGCTGAAAAAATTAAACAGGATTATAAAAATAACCAATTAAATAAAGATGGTGAACCATTGAATCCTAGTGAATATGAAAAATTAACACCTGAAGAAGCTAGGCTTAGAGCTGAAAAAACTGGCACAGATATCTTTACACCTACTAAAGAAGAACCTTAAATTGTATCAAATATTTATAATGAAAGAAATATAAAGTAAAGCAACAATAGATAGCACCAGTTTTGCAGTCTGCATATGATTTTATTCAATATGTTCATACGCGCAATTAATACAGTTGTTGATATTTTTACGATTTTAAATAATAATTATTTACCATCATACATGACTTCGAGATGATCATGTTTCATTTAGTAGAAAATCTTTAATTTGAACTGCAATTTATTTATTGTTATTTGTATTATCCGATTATTGTACAATATTTGTTTAACACGTCACTATCTGATAGTAAATAATTACTTTACAAAGTAGTTGCACGCATTGCAGTATATGGCCAACAATAATTCCGTCATGTAATTGTTACAAAAATCATGATTGTTATTAATAAAAACAGTTTCGCGAAATTTATTGGTATATATCGTTGAAGTAAATCAATGTTACCCGTTAATAAATAATGTTTATTTAATGGAATTTTGCATTCATTGAAAAAAGAATATAGATGATGATGCGCAGCAGTGTTCAAAACCGATTTTCAATTCCTGCGGTATTTTTAATTGGACTGTCTTTTTAAGAACAATTTGCCGAGACAAGATTATGCTAACTTAACAGCTACTTTTTTTCTCACTTATCAAAAGATTTTTTGAGCGAAGTTTGATTGTTTTGTTGGGTAAAAAATTGCGGAAAATTTGAATATTAAAGTCGTTGTCAGTTGTGCGCGGCCGGTATTGCTTTCTACTGACTAGACTACCAGAATCTAATATATATTTGCTTTAAAAAGTGCTGTATTCGTATACAAATGTAAAAACATTTTTTTTTCGGTTCTATGAATTTTTTTCATTACTGATTTTTCCTTTTTTTCTATTTAATAGTATAAGAATTTCATGGAATAGAATCGTTCAGTTTTTGAATAAAAGAATTTCCTATAAACAATTAAAATAATTTGTATTTTCTGCAATAAATAAAAATTATACAAAATATCTAATTTTTAATACAAACAATTACTACTCGTTTAAGATCATATGTATACAACAATTTTAATTAAACATCTTTGCAGAATGCAGCACTTTTTTATTTCTTTGAACAGCAGCTACTAATTATCACTATTTATTGTTTGTATCATTTCTTAGTTCGCTATAACGATCATAATGAAGAGTGGAGTCTAATGAAACATCTGGTTTTGTACAACAATATTGGAATAGTTGCCAATAAAAACGTGTAACAAAAAACTTTAACGTAGTTTCTTTCATTTTTTAACTCCACTCTTCGTTTAATTGCATAAAAAAGCATAAGTGGCACAGTTCTTGCATCTAATTTAAAGTAACATTTCAGCTTTTCTTGCAGAGATTATCATACCTGGATCTCTTGTATTATAATTGCAATACCGTGCTTTAAAGTTAGATAATCCATTTTTTTTTCTATCTGTAACAACATTCTTTTATTTGGTAAGACTCATTTGTTTTAAATGAAAATAAAATTAACATTGAAAATGTGAGAAGAAAACATTGTTATTATTTAATGAAGTGTGTATTCAGGAAGCACACCAAGAACGTTCTTCATTAATTATCATTCATGTATGCACAAGTATACATGTTGTACTTCCAATTAAACATATCCATTGTAAAGCAAGACATATGCCACTTGCTCATGAATATAAATTTGGTTGGTGTTTCCTCTTGTTAATTATCAGTCTATGATATAATTGGATATTTGACTGATAAAATCAGCCAATCAATAAGGCAGGTGCACATGTTACTATACGACAAAGATTTTTTAATAACAGTACATTTTCGTTATGTATACATATGTATATATTTGATACATGTAACTTTCCTATGAATGAAGTTATATGATTGTATAAATACAAATGACAAGGTATGAATGTTTTTCAAGCAGACGTTTCAGAAGAAAAGAAGATTATTCAAAAGGAATAAATCTTTGGCATTTAGTAACATGTACCTTCCATTTAATCAAAGATTTTGTGTATGAAAGCTAGAGTACCATGGAGGAAATTGTTCTACAAAGAAATGTATACAACATTGTTATTGGATACTTAGAAAATACATATAATAAAATACATAATTATATAAATAAAAATACTGATATGGAAAGACTAGGAAGGCAATACTGCTTATTGTATTTTTTTTTATGTATCTAATCTAGTCTTTCAGACTCAAAATCTCCAATACTAAAATTACAACAAGGTAGATGTTCATTCCATTGGATCTCCAACGTTTTCGAAGATGGTTGAGTGAGGGTTGCTTCCAGTGGGCCATAAAAAGCCACCTACACTGCCAGGTGGCAAATATGATGCTCCTCCACTAAGGCCCACCTGATATATTTTCTTCTTTAAATTATTTACATTTTGTATATAATTTTTCTATTCAATATATATATATATATATATCTTTATTATATAAACTATTAAAAAAATAAAATCTAGGAAGCTAAATAACGGAAAAGTGCTACAAATCATATGCATTTTTCAAGCTTAACATTGTATTGTTTGGGGGCTCTTTCATATCGTAATTGTGCTAATACATGATAAGAGTTTATTTGGAATTGTTGTTGGTGTATCAGTGCATAAACTGGTGTTATTGTCCTATTGTGTATTTAACAGGCAAAGAAGTAACTATTTAAAATTACATTGCACAGTTATCAAAACAAATTCTTTTAGTTATTTCAGGCGCATATATATATATATATGTAACAACGTATAAACAGCAGTGCAATTCTTAAAAATAAAGATCCTTTTTTTTCTTTTTGTTAACTGTACATTCATATTCAGTAGAGGATTGGTACATGCACGACGTAAGGCAAATTAGAGTGAACAATGAATTGCCAAATTAAAGAAAAATAATTGTTTATTTGCATCTAAACACAAATAATTGTGCTCTCGTATCACAAGTAACGTCTAGTCGCTAATGTAGTAAACAATACTAATAATAATATGTACATCGATACATCGTTGTGGACATGATACACGCCCACAACAATGTTAACATTATAAAAGGAACGGTAACATAATACTCTATATTGAGTTCACAATTTTGGCACGACTTAAATTTGTTCCAAAAAGAACAATGACGTCATGATCATTGGACAGATACCAACGAGTTTTATTTTGCGTTCTTTTATGCCAGCCCGATAACTTTTTTTTTTTTTTTATTAGGCAGTTTAATCCGAACGATTTTTTGAAATTTCTATTTATAGAATTACCTGTTGGCTCCACAGCAATGTCCTTTCTGCCAACTGACAATCTGCTGCTAGTCGAGATGGCAGACTTTTCCATCTTTCTTCGTCTCGTTTTCTTTCTCTATCAACAAAGTCTCTATCAACGTGTCCCTGAGATAAAGGTGGTAAGATTTGTGTTCTTTGAGCTAATTTGTAACTGTCCTGTCGAGGTACATGCTCAGCGCGTCTACTCGTAGTACTTGTTGATACAGGTAGCGGGGTTGGACTTCCTCCACCTCTATGTCTATGATATAAGTTACGTTTTTGCTGTAACATACGTTGTTGTACCAGCAATTGTAATTGTGTACTGGAGTCTCCTCGAATTTTGAATTGTGGTTGATTCTCTGGCGGTGTAGACGGTGGTCTCAAATGAACAAGATCTAAATGGCCTCTAGCTTTACCCGAATCTATTACAAACAAAACACAGGACAGTTGTTAATACCTTATGGTAAAAACATTTGTACGATCGAGTGTTTCATTTATATTTTCAATACCTTGAATACTTCGTTGCTTCGCTGGTCTATCACCACCGCCTTGTTGATAAAATAACAATCTAGGTCCACCGTCGGAGGCTCTACGCCCTTGAGAAACTCTTGATATTCGACCGGTTATCGGCGATGGACTCATAGGCGGTGGAGGTGTGCAAGAAGGTAAGCTACTCGTGAACGAATTTGCCCCTGAGTAATCCGGTGGGCAACCAGAGTCAAAACTAGACTCAAAAAGCTCGGACGATGAACTACCACTACCACCCGCGATAAATAATGTTGTTCGACTGGGAGGATCAATAGAATCCATAAGTGGGGTATCAAAATGTTGTTGATAATCGCTTAATCTTCGATTGACTATCTGACTGTCAATTCGTTGACTGATATCATGATCTAGGCCTAGTCTATGTTCTTCGAGTTTAATTTGAGCTTCCCTTAATTCATCGCCACTTGGACCTTCTTCTAGATCACCTTCCGCGCTACAACATCCTTCATCGGTCGAAGAACTTGTCGAGCTAAACCTTTTTCCCCCTCGAGTTGCATCTTCTCTTGTTCTAGAAGGAAAATACAGGAGATATCTTACACACAATGTTCCCTGCGACATCGGTTTACTGTAGCGACGAACAGGTGATTTTTGCGTCTCATATTTGCTATATCAATCGTTACTACTTTTTCAAATATATAAAATTGTAAATTATAATGTAATAAAAATTGGTATAACTTAAAATGAAATGAAGGCAATAAAATAAAATAACACAATTACCAAAAATAAAGTCACAGCAAAGTGCTTCCAACCCAACCTGTCCTGATTAAATCTTCAATACATGCATCACCATCAATTAAGATCAATGTCCCACTAAGCTATCGCTGTAAATAAAAATCGTATGATTAACATTTCGTTTGTTAGAAGCTTTTCCGACTGGTAGGATTGGAAGTCAAGTAAAACACTTTTTAAACAAAAATTAATGCAACGCTTAACAACGTGTAAATATTTAATATGAATTTACCTTGATTTGAATTTATCCTCCTTTGTTCTTGCAACACCAGGCCAGCAGGTATTATTCGCTGTACTGCTAATACGATGTTGCTTCAATCTTTCTAACAGTAAGAAATATATAGCAGCATGATGGTCATAACTGCTGTTTCTCAATGACTGTCAAAAGACAACAATCTTGAATTAATAATTATTACTATATTACAAGCACCAGATAAAACAAAGAAATACACGTAAAGGTACCTCTCTAGTTCGTGTAATATCTATGCCTAAACTATGCATAAGTCGAAGTATTTGCTCGTTTGGTTCTTGGATGGATGACGATGATGATCTTGTTATAATCATTGAACAAACAGTGTCCGCGGATCCGGCCATCCAGCGGTGCCTTTTTATTTGTGGAATGGTATATCGCTTAGCGGGTTCCAAAACCAACATTTTACGTATTAAACTTTCGCAATCTGCGGCAAAAACATTTAAAATATATATTTTTTCGAATAAGATTCATAAAAATGTTAGCTCCTCAAAGGGAAATACCTGTGCTCATAAAGTATGGAATTCTAAATCTTCCACTCAAAACGCGATCTCTTAAGGACTGAAGAGTAGATCCATCAAAGGGCAGTGCTCCACATACTAATACATACAATACAACACCTAAACTCTGCAAAAATAAAATAATGATATATGTAACTCTTCATGAAAAATATTTTGTGCCAACTAATTTACTCACCCAGACATCAATTTCAGGACCAGCATAATGCTTTCCTCTGAATACTTCTGGTGCAGCATAAGGTGGGCTACCGCACCATGTACTTAGCCTTTCTCCAGGAGAAAATCTATTACTAAAGCCAAAATCAGCAATCTTCACGTTCATCTGAGCATCTAAGAGTAAATTTTCAGCTTTAAGATCACGATGCGCTACACCAGTGGCATGGCAGTATTCAACCGCAGAAAGTATTTGAGCAAATGTTGCACGAGCTCTGGGTTCGCCCATTCGTCCGTACCGTGCAATATAGTCAAATATTTCACCTTTGCTTGCGTATTCGCACACCTAGAGAAAATACAAAATTATACCAGCTTCCTAAATCTCTGAAACATTTTTGAAATTATTTAAACGCACCATGTATATCATGTTCTTTGTTTCCATAACTTGATATAATTTGACAATGTGCGGATGTTCCAATTGCTTCATTATTTCTACCTCTCTATAAACTTTCTCAAGATTGGTAGGATCTAACTGAGTCTTATCGATTATTTTAATAGCCACCTAAAAGGAAGGAGAAAGAAAATTTGATTAAATTTTAAATAAAAATAAAGTTAGCACAGGTGTTGTTGAATAATATTTACCTCTGTCTTAGTAATACGGTGTCTAGCTAATTTTACCACTGCAAAGTTTCCTTTACCAATGGTTCCTTCAATGTCATAAAATCCTACACGAATTTGTTTCTTACTTTGACCAGAATCCATTTTTACTGAATATATAAATTTGTTTGCCAACAAATTTTTTAATGATTGTTTCTTTTCTTATTGTACCTTACAATTATCCAAAGTCACTGAAAAAAAAAATAATAATAATTAGAATATTTAATGCTTCTAAGCAATCTAATTATTGCACAAAGAATTCGTGTACTGTTATTAACAAATAAATCATACATATATACATCAATTCAAAAGCTTCTTGAGAAATAGTGTTGTTAGGAAAGGACATTCTCGACGAGAGCTGCTCGCGCGTTATATGTGCAGCGTACAAGGTAAAACGTCAGAGATATTCTGCGTAAAACTACTAAAAGCAGAAGAGACTTTTGCAGGGGAAGCTTCCTCACAAAAGTGTAAAAGCTTCCTGCAACCTGCAACAAGTACAATAGGTATTCTCGACTGACGTCATGGATCGACAACGACCTCTTGCCTATCGACGGGTCCAGGATCGATACCCGTCGATAGTCCTCGATAAGATGATAAAAGAAACAAAAAAGAGCGCAGCAAAAAAAAAAAAGACCAAGTCCAAGAACATCGAACCCTGCTAAACTGGTTCCAAGAATTAACAGGAGCAATATAGCAAAGTGTGTACGGGCAACGCTGGCTGACAGATACTCGCTAGAACTTACATTCGATCCCGGGCCTGAATTACCGGGTACAACACGTTCCGAACCGGTAGAACCGTTTATGAAGCGAAAGAAACGCGTTAGCGCTGTCGACCTCGACGGGTGCGTAAGGTCGGGGAGCTGATGCCATCGGTGAGAAGTCGTCCTTCACGTTTACGAGATCCCGAATCTCGTTTCGGAACGGTAACGTTCCTACGACAAGGGTCGTAGGAGCTTCGCGTAATACGACGGTTCGATACCGACTGACCGACGGCCATGTTGCTACCCCCCTGCTATGCCAGAGTCGCCGGCCCCTGTACTTCCTCTTCCCTCTACGTCCCTTATCTACATCACAGCCATTCTTAGCGAATACTACCACTACTACCGTCACTACCACCCTCTCATCGTTATTCCCCACCAACTATCTTCGTGTTCCCCCCACTGTTACAAAATGTACACGAGCGCGCGCGCGCGGGCACGTTATCTTCAACAATTGACGTCAACGTACGTGCTACTATCGTCTCATCGTTAATTGTTCCTGGGTGTAATTGCAAGGCAAATAGCCCGTATGCCACCACGTGGTTGACCGATCGACTTCCTCCTCTTTCGTCTTTTCCCGAGTCACTTTTTTTTCGTTGATACGATGTACGTATGTACGTTGATCAGAAGATTGCTGACTACATAGAAACACAATTTGATTCATCGCTTTAACGAGATACCGTGCAATTCGGGGGTAGGAGAAAGCGTATTACAGTTGCTCAACGGAGTCAATGTACCATCACTTTAAATACACTGAATTTTCAATACAATTTCTATATAGTATGTATTTTATATTCCTCGTTATTAGAAATACTTTTCCATTTGATTACATAAAATACACACTATTTTCAATTTACCTTATCTATATAGATAACTTCTTTCTCGACGGTCGTCAGCGGTTTGACGATCGTCCCCGTCATCGACGGTCGTAGATAATTAATTCTGGTAAATACTGGTAACTTTTTTTTTAAAGAATTGACGTCAAACCAGACTTCTTTACTGTAAGCGCTTTTTAACAGCATGCAAACTGTATATCTGTTTCGTGAATCACGTTAAGATCAAGCGTTTTTTTTTAATGGCGCGTAAGCCGGCAACCATTATACAAACGAAAAAAGGCAACCAATCGGGTGCGTTCTCTGGGCACGCCGTTTGTTGCGGCAGGTTAGGGGCTACTTCCGACGATTACTCTTCAACTGTTCGTTATCAGGACTGATAAAATATCAAAAAAGAAGATTTTAATTGTCAGCGTCTTTCTCTCTCTCTATCCTTGATATGTACTTTATATCACCATAGTCTAATTTTCTCTTTTATAAATAATAAAATAATTAAGAGCGAGTGAAAGATTAGCATTCGTAAATAATAATATCATTTGTTTATCTATGTATACTTCTACAACTATTCTAGTTATAATGGCTGGACAAATAAAATGAAATATATGTAATAGTATGAATCGCGTGTTAAGCAAAGGTTATACGAGAAACTTCCCACGCAGGGATGTAACAGCGTTATGCCTGTAAAATTAACATGCGCGGTGGCATTCTACATTTGCGAACGTTATTACGTCTGTAATAATTTATATGTATTCGAGGCTAGATACGCCTACAATCGAAGATGAGCGAAATCTTACTGGAACGTTAGATAACAATAGATAATGACGGTAGATAATAGGAATAATGGAAATAATGAGCGGTAATTTACGTGTTATCGACGAATACGTTTTTATCCACTCGAACGATCGTTCGGCTAATTTTTTATATTTTTTTTTATTGAATTGTAGCGTAGTATTGGACTTTATTTATGAAGTTATTACTTTAATAAGTGGTCGTCTAGATAATATTTTCAAATTAAGTTATAGTAGAATCATACTACATTAATATGCTCCGTTCAAATAATTTTTCTTAAGATTGCTGTAACCGAAAGTGGACGAAGCAATCGCTTAATTGACAAGCTCATTTTCATTACGATGACAGTGTAGTAATCTTTTTTTACAATCGTAGGTTTATGCATTATTTATTCGAATACTAATAAGTACAAGTATCGCGTACTGATTACATTTATCTCTTTCGCTATTTTACGTCAATAATTTGAAAAGTTTATTTATGAAATACTTAGGAAAATTGACCATTCGTATCTTTTCACTATATTTGACTATACTCGTGACTATATTCCTGAAACGTGACCTATGGTTTTACTTAACAATGCACATCAACCTAAATATTTGGCACGTGAAAAAAAAAAAAGAAGAAATTTCACGTAAATGAATAAAGAGGTAGGTAAAATTCCTAGAACTTTTTGAACATCGCACGTATGTAATTTATTCATGTTACACGAAACGTAATCCCGCATTTCCCCGAGCGGTTTCGAGCGTCATCGCGGGACTTTCGTCCACGTATTTTCGGCACCATGCCACGGACGTCCTCCGTGTAATATGCTCCAAGTGCGTCATAATTAAAACAGACAAACCCCGAACACGTTGTGATGCACTCGAAAGCTCGTGACGATTGCGGAAGAAAGTTCTGACCGGTTAAGTTGCGGGACATAGTTTTTGTTTCTCATAGAATCTCTTCTTCGTTCGACGCCCATATGTGTACGCTAGATTTTTTATTTTCCTCTTTCTCTTTGTTTTCATTTTTTTTGTTTCTTTTTCATTTTTCGAAAGCAACACCTCCGTGCGTCAAACGCGTTTCACTGTGCGATTTTTCAAAGGCTGACGGTATGTTTTATACGTTGTAAAACAAATAAATTGTTGTTCACTTGTAACGTTTCATTTTACGTTAGAATATGAGATACGTAGAATCGTATGTATTTATTTATTCGCGGCTAAAATTATTAAAATATGAAAATTTCTATTAGATATTAGAAACGCTCGGGACTTCACTATTCGGAATTCTTATATCTCTGATTTTTTTTTCCCTGTCATTTCACAAAATTGGATGGAAATGTATATTTCAAGTTATTTTGAACGGTACCGAAATACTACGCCGAACAGTATCAGCCATAAAGAATATTATATTTTCGGAATATGATATTCACCGTCAGCAACTTAGACAGTACCAAAAAAAAAGAAAAAAAAAAAAAAGAAAAATGCAAACCTCAAATCTTTTTCATCGACATCGTTTCATCTACTCGAAAGTTTTATTCTTTATTTCTATAGCACTGCTATTGTCATTCATCCATGACCTACTTTTTTTTCACGATTCCTTCGCGAAATGATGTTTACTTGTCTGCAATAGCAGAGGTAGAGGTGAAAAATCAGTGATATCGTTATCAAAAATCGTACACAACGGTGAATCGCAAATATGAAACGATGTACTTAAGATAGTAAGGTAGAAGGAAATATGTACGTAATAGATCCGATGGAAAGTCCGAGTCTACCAGGCGAATCATTAGGATTATTACAACATCTAGTAATAGGATCAGGATATAATAGGATTACAGAGATTGGTCTTTCTCGTGACGTATGGTGAAGGAAACTTAAAGCTGACATATATAGTTTCATTCGATTATCATTCATTAATGATGAATGTTGAAACTCATTTGTCCCTTTAATCTTTACCACTGATTCAATTGCAATTCAAAGATTTCTAATTTACGGTAAATAAATGTTTCACAAGAAGACTTTCCCTTCGTTTTGACACGTTCCATCTTTTTTCTCTTCACCAGCCTGTTACGATCACGCTTTCCATTCTTTTGTAATTATTGCCACTTTTTTCCCTGTCCTAAGACTGAAAGCTATTTCTATACTCCTAGAAAGATTAAATTGAAAAATAAAATCTGTCCGAGGGTTAATGATTAATTAGTGTTTTTTGCAACGTGTAACACAGAAATTCAATGGAAAACAATGAAGAAAAAATTCCCTGTATACCGGTGAAATATCGACGATCTAACGAAACAATAGACAGACGTACGATATAAGAATGTTCAGGGGGGATGCATAAATAGATCCTTTTCTTGCGTCGTGGTCGGGGTAGGTGGAGTAGGTCACGTAGGAAGGATGTTCGGCATGGTTTTGAACGTGGTTCCTGCTCGCTTTCGGCACGGTCCTGCTTGACGTCATCGAATGACGTCAATCCAGGGTCCCACCAGGTTCCCCGGCCCTCCTTTGAGGCGCGCTTTATCGCGTCAACGTCGCGAAGACGCGTCCACCACCTCCGTCACCTCGGCCCTCCGTGTCTCCGCCGACGCCTGCCTGATACGGTTAAACGAGTGAAATTTACGAAATGCCACCGCTCTGTTCTCGCCAGCCATCTGCAAATAGAATTGGAATCAACCTGAAATAACAAGGGACGTTTCTTAGGGAACAATATCCAACGAACGTCTGCTGGAAGAAAAAATATATTTCAAAGTACCTATAGAAATGATTTGGGATGGATCGTCTTCCGGTATTGGAAATAGATATCATCATTTTTTGGGAAGGTTATTTGGAGGTAAAAGAGACGATAGTTTTTTGGGTTGAAGGTTGGTTTTCTTGGGGATGGTTGGATGGAACTGTAGGCGGATTACTTGGAAGCTTTTGTTGGTTGATGGTAAAGGTTGTTGAGTGGGAAGCAACTGATTAAAATTTAATTAGGAATCGGTCGTTTCTAAATTAATTGGAGGTAGAGAATATAGGGGTGGGAAAGGTGAGAGGAATATTACTATTACCACTACTATTACCAATACCATTATCATTACTATTAAGTTAGCTAACGATAGTGATAATCCACTTAATCAGCCAGCGATAGGAACCAACTAGGTAAATATTTATCATAACCTAATGACAGATAATAATTTGTCAATAATTATGTAAGAACGGATGGTACTTTTTTATTTTTTACACTACAAACAGAAGTAGTTCCATTGCATTGGAATGCTGGACGCGTATCATAATTAAGATGATTTGACAAGAATCACCAGATCATCGTGAAACAGCTTATGAAAATTGAATTGATTACTGCTTTTCTTTTCTTTATAGAACAATTTTTTCTTCATCTAGAGTACTAGATATTCATCGGAATTGCGCAACTAACAAGCGTTATTAAGTAACGAGAAAAACGAAAGTGTAAATAGAATTTAAAAACGATCTCTTCATTTCGTAAAACTGTTTTTATTTAAAGGATTATCATAATTAAGCGATAAGAATATCTAAATAATTACTCAACGAATGGGGAAAGTAGAAACGATTACCAGTTCTTTTCTAAAGTTGAAAAAAACCCGTGAGAAAGTTCGTTTTGTTAATGTATTAAATATTTGGCTACGAATTAACAATTGTCTAATAGAAAATTTTCTTTTACAATAGAGCGTATCTTCATGACCTACATACATGATGGTTTTATAGAATCAATAAGAATTACCAGTAATTCGACAATTCGATGATAAGTATTGAAACTTTGATATAAAAAAAGGATTACTTCTTTGGATGTTGAAATTTATTTATTCATGGATTAACGATAAAAATGATGTTTATGCTTATTCCTATCACTTTTTATCATAGTTTGACAATCGATACCAGAAAAACTGGATTAAAGATGATAATACATTCACTGATAATAAAAAAGAAAAAAAAAAAAAAGAATAGAAAAAACTATTTAAAAAAATTTTGCAAAAATCGCTGAAAAGCCCTGATTTCATGGATCATTCTTATTTCAGAACATTGAATATTTACATACATTTTTAAAGGATCTGAGAATTGGCAAAAAAACGAGCTAAGAAAATAATTATTCAATCCTTCTTCAAATTTATTTGTCTTGAGTCATTCTGTGTCAGAGATTACCTATTTATTTCAATGGGAATATAAACAGGTGTCGACAGAATGTAAAATAAACAATGTCGTAACTTGGGGAACAGGTATTTTAAAGTCAGAAATGGAATTTTGGAATATCGAGGGGTGCGACCTACGTTCCTGGGGGAGGGGGGGGAAGCCAGGCTCTCCCTGGTCTGGAATTTCGGAATTCTGAAATTCCAAAAATAATTAGATGACTAGATTCGTCGCCACTCCTAATTTCTCTTGTCGGGTAGATTTCATCCAAAATACCGTGTCTCGGCACGATTGTGACATAAGTTTGGATAAAGTGGGTACCGAAATAAATGGCAAGCCTGGCCGAGTTCTGACAACGAAGAAACTGTTAAAGTAGAGAAGATGGAGCGTAGGCGTGAGAACCTAGCCACGTGCGAATATTTCGAATATCGAATTTGAATCTGGGATCCTCGAGACTTCGTACCATCCTCGAAATCTGCCAACAAACTATCAGCTACGAAACATCTCAACAATCCGAGACGTTCGCGTTCCGCCCCCTGATCGTTCGCATACTTCAAAATTAATACTATTCTCAATTTCTTTATTGTATCGTTGCGTTATCAGAAAAACGAGAAAACTCTCCGACGAGATAACGCGTCCGCGTCAGCGAAAAAGTGCTTTTCCAATTGCAGAATGAAGCTCTCCAAGTGAATTAGCCTTGATCCGATTTTTCTGAATAATCTGCACATTAATACGCTGTAATTTCAATAAGTTCCGACGATGTACCGAAAGAGCATTCAGGCGAATCGAAATTGATATAAAAGGAAATGTAACAAATTAACAGAGCTCAGGAATAGATTTAGCTTGAACTTCTGTTTCGTGTATCAGCAGAATTTTTTATGGCTTCTTTTGAATTTTATTCCAATGTGTATTCTTAGAATATTAGCACATAAATTATTCTGCTTCTAAAAAATGATAAGTGATCTACTTTTGAATTTAAATATTGTTTTGTAACAAAGTTCCCGAATAAAGTATTTAAAAAATCAGCTTATTCGATGAAATAATTGATCCATAATTAATATTTAATTGACGGCTACCGGAGACCGACCTAAATTTTCGGATACACGAGTGCCCCTAATCTCCCTCAACCCTTCGTACACGCTGAAAGGTAATGAGCTCGGTAACGGTACATAAGGGCTTGGACAGTCCTAACGACCGACCAATCAGATGCGAGGAAAGTGTCCAGCAACTGGACCGGTCCAATCACTGGGCCCGTTACTTTATTTCAGCCCCTATGTAATTTAAAACGAAGCGTCCCTTCCAATAACAAGGTTATTTATATAACCCGCCGTGTAACACGGGTGACTATTTCTGAATATTCTTTTGTCCATAAAATTAGCCGCAAATTGGATAGGAACATTGACGAGGAGGCCACTTTTGTCGACGAGGCATTGTTATTATAATTATTCAGTACGGGGAAACAATGACGTTGCAAACGATTGTGCCACATCATCTATTCATCGATTGGAATTAATTTCGAAACGGAACTTTGCGAGATTCGATCTGTTCAATTTTTTTTTTCTTTCTTTTCCTCATTCGCATGCATTTTGCGCGTCATTTAAAATTGCACTCGAGAATTTTTGCTAATTACGCAAACGATATGACGCAGGTTCCCTAGCATCAGTAGCCAACACTTGGAATTGGTCCACGTGAGGAGTGCCACGAAATTCAATGATTCGTCCACGTGTACATACATCGTCGATTAAACGTGAATCAGCTTTCCTTATTGCCATTGATATTATCCTGATGATCCAATGTCCGTGTTTTCAACAGACACGCCATAAAAATATATGCCAATTTTCCTTATCTACATATTTCATTTCTGACCAGTAGGTTACGTGTTAATTTGCTGAGAATCCATGCCTGTGACTCAATTTCTGAACATCGATTCATCTTTTTTCTCTTTTTTCAATGACCAACCAAGTTTTTACTCATTCTCATCTTTCATCCTCCTTGTCACTTGCAATTTATCAACACGCGGTTAAATTTCATTAATTCATTTTTTTTACCCATTTTAATGAAACACGCATCGATTTATCATTTAAATAGATTTCTACTTAATGAAGTCTTTATTAATTCTCAACTTTTTGCTACCAGTCTCTTCTAATGTCTTTTGTAATTATATTATTTATAAATCATAGTCTTAATGAGTAGCTTCATTAACACGATGCCAATTTTCAGTTTGATTAGCCTGTGAATATTTCAAAGCCAAGAGTCTCGAATATCGAATTTTTTCTCTGACAGTCAATTCTCAGAGCATTCTTGTCAATTGCCGCGAAGGTAGTCTTCTGACGTCAAAGTTCAAAATTGAGCAATTAGGGTTGCGAAATCTCGAAGAATTTTTCTCCTAATTTGTGCACTCGCCTCTGAGTTGCATTTCATTTTAGTGCAAGTCATTTAACGATCATGAACAATGTACATTGCTGTTAAAAACTATCAATTTATTCAATTTATTCAATTTATCGAATCAACAATACAAAATTTCCAAATCAATTTGCTCAACTTCATTAAATGAAGAACAGAGAAAATTAACGCTTCTATAAACACGATAGAATAATCGAAGAAGGTAAAATTGATACGATTGGAAATGTACCATGTCCTCGTAAACTTTTTGACAACACTGTACATTCACAGTTGATGCGCTCGTATGATGAAAATCCGCTGCAAGGTTTACGACACGCTTCGCTCGTCGAGCATCAAGAAAATAATTATTGAGAAAGACCGTATGCCTTGTACACTGAGACAAGGTATTAAAAAAGAACAACCTTCGAGTTCCTTCGTGGTTGTGTCAACCCAGTTGTTGTCTGATTAAAAGTTAATGCACGTGAACTGTGAGAGTTACAGAATCTTAGTGGTACATTCGTATTCGACTTCGAATAATAATTTAAAAAATGATTTACTCAATTATTTCTGGACACCCTGTGGATTGATACACGTGTAGCGTGACAGGTAAGTCTCGGGCCATACTGTACCGCTATTGTTACGACGTATGACATTATAGTGATATCACGCGAAGAGATGCGATCTCACGAGTAGCTCGAGCATGCACCGAGTTCGATCCACTCGCGTTAAGGGGATTGCACGAGGAAACGGAGAATGAAACCTTTCTGTACCTCTTTCGAGTACGTTGTACGAAAAGGTTTCCTCGAGCGTGACGGCGATTTATTCAATTCGAATTCCGGGGGCAACGTCTCTCCGCTAATCGTTCGACGCTTCCGATTTCGGTGAAATAATTTAGCAACGACGTTCGAAAAATAATAATAATTCTTGATAGAAAATTTCTATACATAGTCGTTTCTTTACGTAATAATTTGTAACACGTTGAATAATTTATAAGGATGTATACAGCTGGTTTGTTGCTAACGATAAGAGGAAGGAAAAGCTAGCGTTCGTGCACGATGCTTTTTCGTGTACGTTTTAGGAAATGTATATAAAGAACTCGGTCTCGCTTGAACGTACATCAGTCACATGATGTTCAACCTCGTGAGTTTTTCCTATTCCGAGCATGAAGTATTTGCGCAAATAGAGAGCAGATAAGGCAATTATGTAATTTCTGGGAATTTTCGAAAGTCCTAGACGCAAGGATGTTTCTAAGCTCTGCCAATTTTCTTTCTCACATGTTTCTTTTTTTTAAATTTCCAGTGAAATTATTAAAAGAAATCTTATCAATTTCTTATCTTTTATCCTTCAATTTTCTTCCTCAGTTATTGATCCGGATGAAGCTAACATCTGTTTCACGTGTAACGATTAATATCCTAAAAGGAGTCGTTCTTTATAGAAAGGCCGATATCAGTATTATCAAGGAAAAAAGTTCGCCACGACAAAAGGGTGTAATGCTTTCAGCTCCAACAGGCTGCCATTTTCCAATGACTCGAATCTCTGCAAGAACTTTTTCATACCGTTGCCTGTTTTCCGCTTTACTGCCACCAGTGTGAAATACGATGCTTTTTGTACCGTAGAATTTACGGGAGCAAGATATTTCGAAAAAGACGATACGCTTTTGTGTTTAATCGGAATGCAACGAGTGCAACAGTTGCATCGTAAACACGGAAAATCCTGGAGGTTGATTTGAATGGTGTGCAGTAAGGAAAACGAAGCAATAAAAGTATAATAAAATTAAACAATAAAACATAATTACAAATTTCAAAGCAATACCGATGAGGTAATTACAATACATCCATGTATTGCCGGAAGCAGTTACAGGGGAGATCGATGTCGGTGCTGTGGATAATGTCAGTGTTCTACATTTATCTATCATGTACTTACTGGCAGTATGTATCCTGGTGAATGATCATTTAGCTCAGCATAGTACTTGAAATCATCATAGAGTGCGCCATAAATCAGCTTCAAAAAATTAGGTTTTGGACGACGTCGATATTTCAGATCTCTCACAAGATGATCCTCTGCCTCTGAAAATATTGAAAGTTTCAATATTAGATTAGTAATTAAAAAGGGACTGAACACAAGAAATATATACACAATTATAAAAATACTTTATTAATAAAAGTAAATTTCATTTACAAATTCTTCCGATTGGAATAGAAAAATGCGTTGATAGGAATGAGTAAATTGGGCGTTACAGAATATCAAAGTTATGTAAGTCGACATAACAATATAAATATACACACTTTTCAAAACACTTAAGTGTACAGGTATAAATTGACATCATTAATGTTGTCATATAATTCTGTTGTTTAAATAGACTTGAATAAATATTCATATATACTTAACACTTAACAATAGTGGTATACACGAACAAGAACTATTTCCCATTTGAAACATAACATCCTTAAATAAAATAAGAATATGCAAATATACAGTAATAAAGTAACAAGACCTGCCAAGAATTTTCCAATTTTTTTTTTTTTGACTAGTAACTGATTTGTTCATAATAAACTAATTTGTTACAACATTTCGAGGAAGGCATAGTATGTACATCAAACGAAGTACATACTGATCTTTTAAATATACAGAAGCGAATAAAGATATGAATCTACTGTAATAATATTACAATTTTAATTCAATATCACATTAAATAAACAAAATTGTAATATTATTCCGAAAACAGTTACTACTATTTATTGTGCGCTTTATCATTTGTACTTACTACACACCTAAACCATCAGGCACACGTACATTAGTAAAGGTAATGCTAAATTGTCAACTTGATTTGTTTGTGCTTCAATTAATGACAAAACGACGCTTGACCACACGCTTCTCAAAAGTAACCAACCACTATCTATGTAGCCTATTTAAAAAAAATATTATTCATTTTCTTACCAATCTCCTTTGATATTATTATTTACCATTTAATTTATACGTACCCATAAACGCTAATAAACATATGAATCCAACCTGACTAAGAATACAAGCAATTGTGCCTTCAATAGACTTGTCTGAATTCCTCCACTTGTGAGTACCCCATTTGTAACCAATGAAACTGGCAGCAGTATCACCTATTCCAACTGACAGTATGCCACTGAGCAAAACTAACAAAGGGAGATTACTGGTAGGCATCCAAAGTGGGAAAGATAAACCACAGAATAAGTATAAAGGTGTCAAAGAAATCAAATGATCTTTCTCATCAGCAAACACAGAGAATCCTTGCTGTAATATTTTTCCAAGTGGTGGTATTCTTAAGTATCTCAGTAACTAAAAGTAAAAAATTATCAATTCACCTATACTTGTTAGTTCGGTTTTAAATAAATAAAAAATTAATATACCTCAAGAAGTAGAAATAATCCCATAACAACTCCACTAGCAAAATACAGTAATATATGTTCATAAATTAAACCAGGTACATATACAAGTACTGCTAATAAGTGAAACATTTTTCTGATTGTAGTTGTTGCTTGATTGTTCAACAATATCTGATATGCAACAACAGCCACACCTAGCAATAAACATACAGCCCAATATCCAATTAAAATAATCTGTAATATTCGTAATTATTAAAAACAATTTTATGTTTATAAATATTATAAATTATTAAACAGAATGTACCTTGCTTGTTTTATTAAAAATAAAATAAAACATCCAAACTATAGGATTTTGATCCAATATAATATGCATTACTGGTAAAACTATAATCAATAAAAGAGTGATTGTCATTATGTAAAACTTTATAGTTGATTGAAACATTGGAAGGCAACTAGATATTAAACAAATTGCCATGGCATATAACATTGCAACCTAAAAATGTATCAATAAATTATTAATTATATGTGATTCCATGATTTCTAACAAACTTCTAATAAAATACCTGTAATATAACTGTAACAATATCATCATCATGAATAGGAGGTAGATGGTATCTTAATGGCAAGTTTGTTACAGCAGACATTAGAAATAAGATACAACCATGCATAGTTGCTGTTGCTTCTCCAATTGTGAAACAACGAGGAAACATGGACATCAATTGAAGAACTCCCCATGTACCTAAGCTTCCTACACCTAAGCCCCATATCACGCTCACCAGTAATCCTGTTCTTATTTATCAATAAATGAAGAAATATAATTTTAATTAAAATGACATGTATATCTGTGTTTTCATATGATGAAAATTAAATAAATTCAAAAATACATTTACATAAAATAATAATCTATAAATTGATATACCTTTATTTGCTATTAGAAGATATAACATTGATGTTACTATAGCTGGTAAAAAATATATGGCTTGAAAATCTCTAACTGTAACCATTTTTGTTGATAATTTTATGTATAAACATATAGAACTAATAACAAGACCAATTCCTGTGAGGCCTACAATGAGGCAAATTTCGGAATAGCTATTATCTTCCTTTAATATAGTTAAAAGTGCGCTTAAACCTACTAAGGTTCCAAGCCATAATCCACTGTTAGCTTTTGCCCTGAAAATATTTTGAATATCATTTAATACATTTTATTGAAAATAACCATTAGGATACATTGCGAGGTTAAGTCACATCGTTATGTTACATTCACATCGAATTTATATGAATAACAACAAACGTACCGACATTCTATGCCATTATTTTTCAGGCTTTGTAATATTTTTTCTTCGAGATGCAAATATTTTATTGTGAAAGTTTCCATTGTTTATCGAGTTCGACTATACATACGTTTCTATATAAATGAGCAACCACACCCCCACACTTCTAACACGAACAGTATGCTTTACTCACTGGAGAGGTCACACTATTTCCTCTTGTATATCTTTTTCCTCTTACACATTATACAATACATAATAGATGCTGAAATTGCTTAAAGTACAATAGACTTAATTTCTATTATGTAATTCTTATTATTTTTCAATACAAAATGTATCCTCATTTCAAAATTAATACATTTGTATTGAATAACCACTTCATAGTTGCGATACCATATGTTAAATTTTTCACGACAAATAAATGATTGTATCGATATAATAATATTTATTCAACGTTTATAAAAATAACAAACTAATAAACATTAGAAACACAAAACAGTAGGCTATCGTTGCATATAATAATTATATATTATGACATTTAATTGTTTACAATGCATTTGTGCTAATTTAATAGTTAAACTACGATCGAAATGAACAAAGACCATATCGAACAATCACCAACTGCAACATTAAATAGTTACCTTCATAAATACGAACATTTTCTTTATGATCTTTATTTCAATAACTGAGATAATTTATAACTATTAAATTGTACCCCAGCAGTAACTTGTATACTTTAATTTCGATGAGCTTTGACAAACGAGATCAATCCGTTTGTCGACGAATCATGGGTTGTAACTGGTCCATCACCCTCCAATTCAGGTTCAATTGCTTTTGCTAATTGCTTGCCTAATTCAACGCTATTCAGATAAAACTTAATAAATTTAATAACTGTTCACTTGAAGAAAATTTGTGTACAAAAATCAAATTACTACTTACCCCCATTGATCAAATGAATTGATATCCCATATAATTCCTTGTACAAAGATTTTATGCTCGTACATCGCTTTAAAAATCAAATTATTTCTTTGAATAACATTCTAGTATAAGTATATCACAGTGCATTAAATTTACCTATTAAAGCTCCAAGAATGAAAGGTGTTATTTGTTTAACAAGAATGGTGTTAGATGGTCTATTTCCTTCAAACATCTTATGCGGCAATAATAATTGCACTTGTTCGGGACTCATTCCTGCTTTCTGCAATTCAGTTTTAGCTTCATTCTCATTTTTACCTTTCATTAAAGCTTCGGTTTGTGCGAAACAGTTCGCAAGTAATATTTTATGATGAAGAATTCCTTGAACCTGTAATACTTCCATGCATTATTATTTGTCCCGATATTAAAAATAATGAAAACAGTGAATTTCAGTAATACCTGATTATGCGATTTTACTGGAATTATAAAGTCAGCAGGTACAAGTCTAGTACCTTGGTGCAGTAATTGATAAAATGCATGTTGTCCATTAGTACCTGGTTCTCCCCACACAATTGGACCTTTAATATAATTTTGTAAGTATTAAATTTTGAAGCTCGCATTTCCTTATAACTATTACACAATATTTAAAATACCTGTGGTATAATTTACAACAGTCCCGGCTCGTGTAACATATTTTCCATTACTCTCCATATCTCCCTGTTGGAAATAAGCAGCAAATCTATGCAAGTATTGATCATAAGGTAATAATGCATGTGTTTCAGCCTTATAGAAATTATGATACCATATACCAAGTAAGGCTAATATAACTGGTGCCTATGAAATAACGTTCTATTAAATATATTATAATAAACCCATTTATTTTATTTCAAGATATACTTGCGTTTTTTTCCAATGGAGCACTACAAAAATGCTGATCCATAAAATGTGCTCCGTTCAATAACTTTTCGAAATTTGCAAATCCAATGGCTAAGCAAATTGATAAACCGATAGCCGACCATAACGAATAACGTCCTCCAACCCAATCCCAAAATCCAAACATGTTTTTCTCATCAATACCAAACTCTTTCACTTTTTGCGTATTGGTAGATAATGCAACAAAATGAGATGCAACAGCTGCATCCTATGAAATATAAATTTTACAATAAAATACTTACACTACTTATGTATATACAGAAATCATGTGCTTCTACTATTTGCTTACGTTTTTCAAAGCATTTAAAAGCCATAGTTTGGCAGAAGTAGCATTTGTGATTGTTTCCTGAGTGGTAAATGTCTTTGATGCTACTATGAAAAGAGTTGTTTCTGGATTCAATTTTTTTAGAGTCTCAGCTATATGAGTTCCATCTATGTTACTGACAAAATGAACGCGAGGTCCAATATGATATGCTTTCAATGCTTCAGTCACCATCAATGGTCCCTACATACATACAGTATATGTGTATTATGTAGTATACACGCGCGGGCGGGCACACACATACACAAATACAAATTATTAAAAAATGTATCATTATATTTATATTACATACCAAATCTGAACCACCTATTCCTATGTTAACAACATCCTCAATTGGTTTACCAGTAAAACCTTTCCACTTTTTTGAAAGAACCTATGTGGAGTAAACAATATGCAGTTAATCCCATAAATTAAGAATATATAGAATTTAAAAAATATTAAGAGAAATCAAAATACATTGATTAATTTTTACCTCATTGGTAAATTGTTTCATGTGCTCTAGCACAGCATTTACATCTGGCATTACATCCTTGTTATCAACCAATATTGGCTTATTATTTCTGTTACGTAAAGCAACATGTAAAACTGCTCTGTTTTCAGTAAAATTAATCTTTTCTCCCTTGAACATAGCATCTCTTGCATTTTCTATTTCACGTGCTTTTGCCTTTAAGTTAATAAATTATATTAGTTATAAGAAGTAATTATCACTATGAGAAATGTATAATATTCAAACATAATTGGAGAAGTATAAACTTAATATAATCTAAAAACTTATATAATATTATAATATATACCAATTCCAATAATAACTGAAATGCTTCTTCTGTAAGACGATTTTTGGAATAATCAAGTAAGATTGGACCATCCTCAGGAGTAGGAATTTCTAGACTAATTAAAAATTATATTATCAATAACATTGTGTTGCATAGTAACATATGAAAAAAAAAAACCGAATAACAAGTCTCAAAGAAAAATATAAAGTTAGATGATGTAAGCTATTTTAAGAAAAAAAAAAAGGATTTCAAAAAACAGTAAAACGAACTATTTATTTGAATCTTATAAATAAATATAGCTAAAGAAACATTATTGCAGAAATTTAATTTTAGTTGTCAGTGAATTGCCCTCAAAAGGTCAAGTCAAGGTCATATGTCAAGGACTGACGAAAACTTACTTGAATTTTTCAAAGCGTTTAGGATTTTGCTGAAAGAGATCGTATATTTTAATTTTCGATCCATTACCGTCGAAATACTGCTGCAATTTGTTCCATACTAGCTCAGTTGCCAATGCTACTTTCGCTTTCATTTTTTTAATTCAAGAAAACCGCGTCCGAACTTACAAAAATCCAAATACAGATCCCGTTACACGACTTACGTATACATATATTACGTTATAAGACATGCCAACCTATTTACGTTTAAGCTAGTTTTCAATGCAGTTATTAACGAACTATCATCAACATTTTCATAAAAACAATAACTAAGGAACTTTTTTTTTAAAGTATTTTATTATGTTTCCATAGCTACGTAATTTTATACGGTAAAGATAAAAATGCTTGTAACACATATCGTTGTAATGATACTCAACGAGAGAATAATCTTGTAGACAACCTAGGGAAATTCTTCTGCTCTCGTGGTTAGATGCATGCACGTTGAGAAAGCATGAATGAACTGTATTGAGTAACATAGGGTTCCCTAGGGAAAAGAGCATTACAGGGGAAGCAGAAATTCTCAAAACTTTATTTTTACAGAAAGGAACAGAGAGTGCTCGTGCCCGGGGTTTTACTTGCCGCGTTGAACTGGTGCTGCACCATGTGGTCAACTCTTGCAAAAGAATAGAAATCTATAAACGGCATCTGAATTAGCAAATATAAGAACCGCAGATGTTTGTGTCACACGTGTCGATAAGTTATACAACTCCATTACCACTTGGAGGTATACTTTGCAATTTCAAAGGCATAGTTGCTGAAAAAATATAACAAATATAAAATAAAAAAATAAAGGACAAATCTCGCAGCCAATTCGCTCGCATTATTTGTTACATAATTAATGAATGCACCATAAAAGTAATGATGCATTTATTAATTATCCACCAAATAATAACGATTGCCCAGGTCTCACCACGAGGAGGTTGCTGCGGGCGGAGACCCGCCCTATCCTCATCCCATCCACCCTCCATTTATGCAAATTTTTATTTACAATTATTTATATCATCCTCTTGATGCACATTTGCAAAACGCTTTTCATTGTTGTGCAAACGAACAGCAAAAGGAGCATTATTCTATACACTACCTGCCTAACTACTTCTCTACTTACATTTGTGTTTTTTAATCCTACTACATTTTTTTTTATATTGATTACAGATCTGTAATATACGAGCGCTCGTAATCATCTTAAAAATACACTTAAATATAAAACTTAAATCTAATTAAACACTGCAGTGCTTAAGGCTATACATTTTCAACCAGGCTACATAAAAATGTAAAGGGATATAAATGAATAACTATAACAAATTTGTTGGTTTCCTTATCCTTATCAAGACACTTCCTGAAATAAAAAAAAAATCGATAAAAAAAAATTCCTCTAATTTTCTTTTCCTTGATCTTAGTACCAATTAATTATTAAAAATGCTTACAACGACTCAACAAAAAAAAGTGATAATAAATATTAATAATTGATTACAATAAATCAAAATGTTACCAATTCTTTATGAAATTGTTGTAAACCAATATTAAGTGTCATGACGATGTTTCAATATCAACCAAATATCTGTAACAAATAAGAAATACAAATTTATGTAATTAAAATTTAAACAACAGCAATATAATTATGATTAACAAACGATCGAACTTTATAATTTATGAAAAATATTTGAATAGGTAAGCTATGCGTACCTATGTACGACCGGTATGGGATGACGTTCCGAACACGTCTTTTAACACTCGAAACACAATTTAATTCAATATTTGAAGACAATTTAATAACACTTGTTGCAGACACGTGCGAACGGACGAAGCTTCGAAGAGGAATGACGCATTACGCCACACTCCACGCACCTTACCCTCCAACGATGAATCTGATTGGTCGAAATAAGAGGACGCCATAATGAGACGACCAATCATAGCCATTGATACAAATTTGAGATTGCTTCGAAATAAGGGAAAAGTTCGTTGAAAATTATCGACGCCATATTGAAATAAAGTCAAGATTACTTTTTTTCAACTTGAAACACGAAAATATAGGAAAGAAAGTAGAAAAAAATAGGATATTAATGTATTTAATAAATTATCGTGATAAAAGCAGAATAAATGAGGAATATATTACTTTAATTCGTAGGTATCTATATTGGCAGAATAGTCAAAAATGACAAAATCAATTATTGCAATTTATAACAATAAAATGTATTAAAGAAATTATTGATATGAAGGGAAAGTAATTTAGATTCAGCTGTTTAAGTCTCATTCTGAATTCATAGCAAAAGCAAAAATATTTCACCTTAAACATTTCTGAAGACCACGTGGAATTGATGTTAAAAAACATGAATCTTGACTTCTCTTCAACTTTGCCTTCTGTTTTTCGTACTTCTGATACTTAATACATTATTTAATATAATATTTTAATAGGATTTAATCTCACTTTGTTATAAACGCGTGCACTCACAACGAAGTTGTGGAAGGAAGTGACGTAATTAGGCAGACCTGCGCACATCGCCGAAAACGACGATTCTGATTGGTCGAAATAGGACAACACCTATCTTGATTTAACTTTTATTTACTTGTAATTATGTAATAAATAGAATTATTAATTTAATATATATATATATATATATATGCTAATATGAAAATCCATGGATTGTTGTATATGCTAAAATGGATGTTGTTTACAGATTGCTGAACTTTAATATATCGTTACATTGTAATTCTAATAAATAAAAAATACCTCATACATGAATATTAAATTGTATGCACAGAAAACAAAGTAAATTAATAAGTTAATTTATGTAAATTATTTTTATCAACGTGATAAAAATGTGCAATGTCACGATTATTCTGCGTACATGTATACATATATAATTTTTTTATTCAGTGGATACATCATTGCTTATCAATGTAACTTCTCCAGCAGGTTTCGAATTATTTATCGAACTAATTCCATCCGTATTTTATACTTTAAATATACTGTTATGATATACAGTTGTTTAAATCAAAGTGTGCGAAAATTTAGCCAGAATTTATCAAAAATGAATCTTAAACGATTGGAAGGAAAAGTAGCAATTGTAACAGCATCAACACAAGGGTAAAATAACGTATTCAATGTGATTTATAATTAAGAGCAACAAATTATTCATAATGTTTAAACTTAATTTATCTTTTACTTTTGTTCAGTATTGGTTTTTCAATAGCGAAACGTCTAGCTGAAGAAGGTGCCAAGGTAGTAATTAGCAGTCGTAAAGAATCAAATGTGATGAAAGCAGTAGAGCGACTCAAATCTGAAGGATTACAAGCTTCTGGTACCATATGTCATGTTGGTAAAAAAGAAGATAGAGCAAAGCTTTTTGAAAATGCAAGTATCAACTTTATCTATAGATTAATATTTATGAATCTTGCTCTTTATCAAAATAAAACAAATGATTCATTCATGTCATTACAGGTAGAAAAAGAATATGGTGGTTTAGATATTCTTGTATCAAATGCAGCTACAAATCCCAGTGTTTCAATGGTTCTTGATACTCCAGAAGAAGTATGGGACAAAATCTTTGATGTCAATGTCAAAAGTACATATCTTTTAATGCAAGAATCTTTACCACTTTTAAGAAAGAGTAAATCCCCTTCAATAATCATTGTATCTTCAATAAGTGCATATACTCCATTTAGTGTAAGTAAGTTCTTAAATTTGATTTTACAATATCATTATTATATATATATTATTCTTTAGTTACTAGGAGCATATGCTGTAAGTAAAACAACATTATTAGGAATTACTAAAGCAGCTGCTGCTGATCTTGCATCTGAAGGAATTCGTGTTAATTGCATAGCACCTGGTATAATAAAAACTAAATTCTCACAAGCAGTAAGTGTTTATAAATATTTTTATGAATCATATATAAATATATAATAAAGTATATCATATAATAAGTTCCTTGTTTACAGATTGTAGAAGGGGATGCAGGAGAAGCAAGTTTATCAATGATACCAATGCAAAGATTTGGTGAACCAAATGAAATAGCAGGTGTTGCTGCATTTTTAGCAAGTGACGATGCTTCGTATGTTACTGGTGAAACTATTGTAGCTGCTGGTGGAATGCACTCCAGACTTTGAATATGTTTTATAAAGCTGTTGTGATATATTACAAATATTGTATTCAAAAATTGTTAATAAAACATTTTATATGTATTTTTTATTGATTGTTGTTTAATCTGAAATACCAACATAGCCTAAAACATTTTCATCAACCTATACCGTGTATGCGCTGCCATCTGCAGTTATCTCAAGCATATCAAAATAAAATAAACACGATAATCTGACATCACTGTCAAAAACATTTCGTGTGTATTCGTCAGCGCAGGTGCAGAAACAGTAGCTTGTGAACACTTTATGTTAAAAATGTTTAGAGGAAGATAGCATCGGACAATATGAATAAGAATATGAATTCACCATCCAAACTTACGGAGTTTGCTCCGTTAAGCCCCGAGGAAAGTCAACCAGTTGTAGCTTCCTTATTTTCAAAATTTTTTAGCTTCACTAGAAGTAAGTATTACTTTTCTTACACTGTGCTTTAATTGTAATACTTATTTATAATACTTTAGTTATTCATTTATTATTATTATTGTATACAGACATGGTAAATATCCTATATAAATCTTTTCTTTAGGTTCACAAAATGTTGACGATTCTACAATTTCTTCTACTAACGAGGAGCAAAGCTCCTCTGATTCTGAGTCATGGAAGCAATCAGAAAGTACAGAAAAAACACCTGAAGATGATAGCTCAAGCATGATGAACTTTCCATTGGATACTCGCGAAGGCAGAAGTTTACCAAATGTTTTAAAACGCATTAGTAACATTGTAGCTTTGAAAAGCAATGTAAGATCTTTTCCTACGTATTATATGAACAATGTAAATTATTCAAATCAACTATATTATCAATTATGTTTAGAATTTACGTTCATACAAAGATTCTCAGTTAAGAAGTTATTGGATGCCGGATAACGTGAGCAAACAGTGTTACGAATGTGGCGAACGGTTTACAACATTTCGTAGAAGGCATCACTGTCGCGTTTGTGGTCAAATATTTTGTTCAAAATGTTGTTGCGATCAGATACCTGGAAAGATTATGGGATGCACTGGTATGGAAGCAATAGATGCATATTTATTATGGGTCATTTCTGTATGTTGTATTAAATAAATTTATATTACAGGAGATCTCAGAGTTTGTACCTATTGCTGTAAGGTAGTTTTATCTTATTTACAATCATCAGACATGAGGAGTGACCTATCAGCAGATTTAAAAGCATTACAAGAAGATCTCCAAGTTAAATATGGAAGCGATTCACCGCCTATAACTCAGAAAAATGCAAATGAATCTGTAGAGGATGATACTTCAATCTGCAGGAAGCCAAGTGTTGGATACATGGAAGAAAAATATGCTATTGGACGGTATTGCTTTATACCTATTTCATATCCGACTGTTTAAATATGTAATTATTTTATAAATATACTTTTTAGGTCAGCAACTAGTTATCTGACATCCCAAGAACGATCTATTGCTTTACAAAATTCCGCCTCTTTGAGAATGATTTATGAAGAGCTGTTTAGATCAAGTCAAGCAATTCTCCTACAGACGCACAGAATTAGACTGAAAAGTTATCACAACTGCTTTTTAGCTAATGAATTAGTGAACTGGATGATAGCACAAAACAAGGCAGCTACTCGGTATAAATGATTGGTATAAAAAATATACACCTATCAAAGAAAATATTAATACTTAATATTTTACAGTGTGCAGGCTACTGCTATTGGGCAGGCATTATTAGAAGCAGGTTTCATTGAACCAGTAGTTGCTGACAATGTATTTAGCGACACAGCGACTGTATTTAAACCAGTGAAATTGCAACATATACAAACTATGGATTTGTTGACTGAAACTCAGAACACATGTGATGCCCAAGAACCTGCATGGGTAAAGACAATTCCGCAACACGATTCAACTACTGGTATAATCTAATGCATTAATTTTACAACTTTATTTTGTAATATATACGAGATAATCTATTGCTGCATTAACATTTCAGATTCTGAAAGTGAAACAAAACCTTCAAATTCCATGCAACAAGGCACTGGACGTTTACCATCTTCTAGTTCAAGTTTCTATTTAGATTTAAACTTGGAAGCGTCCACTGTTACATTGAAAAGACCCACGTCGGAAGATTTAACGACAATTTCCGTAGATAGTAGCAGCGATGGTGTAATTGAACAGAAAGAAATCACAGTAAAATCGCATAAATGTAATTTAAAAATTGCCGATGATCTTCTAAACGATACATTGCAAGTACAAGAATTTAAAGAAAAAGGTGGTTGGCACAAACCAACAAATCTGAGAACTGTATTCGGAGAACTTCATGCTTATGAATGCTTAACGTAAGTATCGTACATAATAAAATAACATATATAGTCGTATCTAACGAGATATATAATTATAGATCAGCATACAAACAACACGAAGATTCATTAATCAAACAACTTCTTAATAAAGAAGGTTTATCGCAGAGCTGGTCGGAAGTGATACTTCCTATTGCTCATCAAATTATTGATTACGTTAGACCCGATTTAAATCATAATGTCGATGATTTAGATATTCGACAATATGTCCAAATAAAAAAATGTCCAGGTGGAGGTAGAGATGATTGTGAAATTGTGTCTGGCGTAGTTTGTACGAAAAATGTTGCACACAGGGGAATGAACGCAATGATAGCTCATCCAAAAATTTTATTACTTCAGTGTGGACTTATGTATCAACGTGTAGAAGGAAAGCTACTAAGTTTGGAGCCGGTGATGTTACAAGTATGATAAAAATTATTTAACCCATATTAGAAATGTCGGTATCATTAAAAAAAAAAAAAAAAAATATTTAATTTAAAGGAGAACGAGTATTTAGGTCATACAGTTGCTAGAATTACTGCACTTGGTCCAGATGTTGTGCTCGTACATCGCTCTGTATCAAGATTAGCACAAGATAGACTTAGAGAATGTGGAGTAACGCTTGTTTTAAATGTAAAACTTAGCGTTCTCGAAAGGGTTGCACGGTGTACCGGTGCTAATATTGTGAACACTATCGATGCACATATAAGTGCAAGATACATGCTTGGTACATGTAAAAAATTCTATTTACGAAATTTTTCAAGCGAGAAAAGTGAGTAACGAAAGATCTGAATTTGTTAAAATTTTTAATTTTTAACCATATAAATTTCTACCTTCCAGATGGTATCAAAACTTTGATGTATTTTGAGGGATGTGCAAACCCACATCTTGGAGCCACGATCTTGTTGCGAGGTGGTTCTCAACCAGAATTAAAAAAAGTAAAGAACGTAACTTCGACGATGATTTTTGCTGCTTATTCTTGGCGTCTTGAAAAATCATTTCTTATGGATGAATTTGCTAGACCACCATCACCTAAAGATAATTCATTCTTAGATGAAACGTTAAACAAAGATACCGAAGATTTTGAAAAAATCAACAAAATAGTGCATACTAAAAGCAACGAAGTTAATGATTCATCGTCGACTCATAAAGAGTATACAGATAGTACAGAAATTTTGAAAGTAACAAAAATTCAGGAAGATTCTGAGAATATATCAAACGGTAAACAAAGTATAGAAATAGAGATTTCAGGTAATGAAAGTGTACCAGTAAAAAATACAGTATCAGATCAGAAAATATGTACTGAAAATATATTAAATTCAAATTCTGTTAAACAAATATCTTCTATACTGTCCGAAGATGCTGATCCTTACGATACTTTAAAATTATTTAAGCCTAAAACGAAAACTTCTGTGATTTGTACAAAAAGTACAGAGGATAACGTAGCAAGTAACACGTCGATCAATAACGATGGTCTAAATAATACTACTGGACTTGGAATAGATAGCAGCGAAGATCCAAATGGTACAATTGAATTGTTTGGAAGTAAAGCTAACGAGAAAAATAAAAATGCTAAAGAAGAATTTGAGAGATTGAGGATAAAAGATAAAGCTTCCTCGGAAGAGAAACGTATCTATGGAGAATCCATAAGCGATCATAGCGATCCGTTGCATCAGTATTTAAACGAAGGCGACGAAGATGTCTTCAGTCAAACTAGTCCGAACGGTCAACATTTAAGCGTTGCCGATTTACCGCTATTAAACAAATTTAAGAAAGCACTTGAAGGAACCATATTAAGTGTTTCGCCTTATTTAAAATTTTCTGTGCCGTATTTGGAAACAGAGACAGGAAGGAACTGCGTGTTGCGAAGTTTCTTTCCAAGGGAAATCTTTTATTCTGTCCAATTCGTGGATAAAGTGAAAGAGATTAAAGCGACTAACATGTCGATAGAATCGAGAATAGAAAATCCATTATTGAAATTAAAATTAAAGCCTCAGCATCCGTTTGTTCAAGCGAGATTAACCACCGACGTTGATAGTCAAGAAGTACAAGCGTTATTAGCTAATTTTAGAGCATGTGGTAGTCGATTGTATCCAACGAATAACGTTTTATCAGACAAACAGCAGATTATAATGCAGTCTGAAATGAATGATCAAACACCGGTATGGCCTGATTGTTTGGATCCTGCGAGCCATCAACGTTTATCCGTATTATTTTGCAGTTTTTCCCATACCGGTAACGATACACCAGCGTTTTGTGTGAATCCATGGGTAGTAAATATGGATTTATATGGAAGGAACGACATTGCCCTGGGACGTTTTTTGGAACGATACTGTTTGACTTCTGAATACAAGTGTCCTGCTCAGGCATGTCGGGCACAAATTGCTCAGCATGTTCGGCGATTCGCCCACGACGGTGGATGCATACATATTAGCTTAAGCGAAATGAGCACCGAGCCTTTTTCTCAAGAGAACGCAAATCAAATATTAATGTGGAGCAAGTGTATGAAATGTAAAAGCGTATCACCGGTGGTACCGATGTCAGACGACACTTGGTCTTTATCCTTTGCCAAATATCTGGAATTACGTTTCCATGGTAGCGCGTATACAAGACGTGGTACAGATAGTTGTCAACATTCGCTTCATCACGATCACTATCAATATTTTACAAAGAAAAATATGCTGGCCATATTTAAGTACACAAGAATATCGCAATGGGAGATCTCTTTACCGCCTCCCTTGATAAATATCGTCTACGATCCGAAACAGCACGCCGATGTGATAGAAGAGATGAAGAGTATAGCGTTAAAAGGAGACGAAGTGTTCTCCTCAATACGAGAGAAATTGTTAACTTTACAAATTGATGCGGATAATTTGAATGCTGTGAAACAGCAGTTAACTAAAGATCAGCAATATTTCAAGAACAAAATTGAAGAGATTCAATTGAAACTGACATCTCCAACGTTGGAGAATAAAAAGCTTGAAGGTAAGGTCTCTGAAAAACAGGTGCAAGCATTGATGTTCAGAATAGAGGATGGAATTGTGATATTGAAACGACTGATATCAGAGGTTGTGTTCAACTGGAACGCAAAGATATTGGAAATGTCTGTTAAAAAGAAGGACGAAAGACCACGACGTTTTACCGAACGATCTTTGACCGCTGGTAGCAATAGCATAATCGATACAGATGGGTATATAACCGAAGACACCGCGTCGGAATCGCAACTTGAAGATCTAAGTCCTATGTCAGCTGATTACAATGCTATCGATGCTATTGCAACAGCGCAACACGATTTGCAGGGAATCGAAGGTTTAGAAAGCTCGGACAATGAAGTTTTAGAAAGTAATAATACTGAAGAAATTGTTGTTGTTCAGGGATCTCCAAAGATGCATCAAAGATCACACTCTGATGTGTTACCTGTTGCGTTAGACGATGTGCCGGATAAAAAGAAAAAGAAGAAAACGATTTTATCACAATTGTTACCATCGGTTTCTGTAGCTCAGCCAATAGCTAATCCATTGGGAAATTTAGAACACCACTTACTTCCACTTGGGTATGATTAATATAATTTTCATGTTCTAATCAATAATTGCAGATGATCGAAAGATTATCAAAATAAACAGGGATATATGTTTTTATAGGTCGGTTGTACCTATAGTGGTATACGAATCAGAGCCTTCATCTATAATTGCATATGCACTTGATTCACACGACTACAAACATGCATTGCACGAGTTGATGCGTACAACAAAAGGGCCTGATCTAAATCCTAGTCCGTTGATTAAACGAAAATTTCCGGACAATAAGGAGAATTTTGCTGATATAACACAATCAGGAGAATTTAAACGACCGTCCGTACTATCATTTTTCCGTGGGAATAGTCCAAATTCTGCGACTCCTATAGATTCAGATAAAAGTGTTTCAACTGTGGATTCTAATATGCCAAATCCATCGACAGTTGCGGAAATCGATGAAGATAAGAAAACGGCGAAGCAACAGAACTACATTGAAGTACAATTCAATGACGCGACAACAAATTTTTACTGTAGAATATATTTTGCTGCACAATTTGCTGCTTTCAGAGAAAACGTTTTACCATGCGGAGAGGACGGTTTTACCAGAAGCATGAGCCGAAGCGTGCAATGGGCTGCAAGGGGTGGAAAAAGTGGAAGCACATTTTGTAAAAGTCGAGGTATCAAATTATTATATGAATATTGTAGGAGAGAAACCCTCTCCCACTCTACTAAACGCCTACAATATGCATCAACGTTACTGCTAAACTGCTAAATTTTAACTTTGCTAAAATATCTCTTTGTGTGACAGATGACAGGTTCATCATAAAGGAGATGTCCCGACTAGAAATGCAAATATTTCTTGATTTTGCACCAAATTATTTTTCCTATATGGAAAAATGTCAACAAACTAAACAGCCAACGCTGTTGGGAAAGATAGTCGGTGTTTACAGAGTATCTTTTAAAAATAATACGACAAACGCAGCGCTTCGCACTAGTGTTCTAGTGATGGAAAATTTATTTTATAAAAGAACAATAACAGATAAGTTTGATTTGAAAGGATCGGTGAGAAATCGGCTTGTTAATCCTGAGGATACATGTCACGAAGGGGAACTGGTATTATTGGATGAAAACTTATTGAACAGTAGGTACAACATTGATGCCGATTTGTGCGGAAATTATTTTCCCCCATTCTAAACACGAGATACATTTTCAGTGAGCTGTGATTCGCCGCTCTATATCAGATCACATTCCAAAGCAGTTTTAAACAGAGCCATCGAACAAGACACTAAATTCCTGGCTGATAATTCTGTGATGGATTACTCTTTATTAGTTGGTTTGGAACCAAACTCGGACGAGCTCGTTCTAGGCATAATAGGTAAGTTATGGAATTATATATTTCACAGTATGGAATGTCAAATGAATTATTGCAATTGCAGACTATATACGAACGTTCACTTGGGATAAGAAATTAGAAACAATGGTAAAGAAATCAGGCATATTAGGTGGCCAGGGAAAGTTACCAACGATAATATCACCGGAAGAATATCGTGCACGTTTCATAGCGGCTATGCATCGATATTTCTTACCGGTACCAGATAGATGGTCTGGCTTAGGTAGAGGTGTAGAAACATCATGAAAGACATGATTTTTAGTAGTGAGATTTTCAATTTTTTCCACAAATATTATATACTAAATATATTGTACATATATTTTCTATGCAACTGACACAAATGTAACAAGCAATGTTGCATATAAACATGTGATGTGTATTAATATAATGTAGGGAATTATTAGTGCTTTGTTACATTTTTGTAATGAAACAAAAGAAGAAGTGATGAAATGAAGTTACCATTATCGTAACGAATTGACTCGTTGTACAGTTTTAGTTTTTTCATAATTTCTGTACCTATATAACGTTTACATTACATCATTTGTATTTGTATTCATTAGCTCATCGATTATTGTATTACATGTACATAATAAGTTTGTATTAAAAGTTCATAAGCAAGTCTCTCTTCAAGTTCGATGTACAAAGGGCGTGAATGAGAGTCACATGAAATTATATAAAAGTCTATGAAAGCACCATTATTTATGTTTTATTTAGAATTATGTACATGAACGTTATTTATTATTATTGATAGTCAAATAAACAATAATAATAATAATAATAATAATAAGAGCTTTAACATAATAATATTTTCATGATAGTTTAGATCAGTGTTCCGGAATTTGTATTCGAATTCAAGAACAGGATATCGAGTTATGCTAATTGTAATTTCAATAAGTCGTTTACCTTTCAATTTTACAATCATGAGAACAAAGTATAATGTATCAAGTATATTCCACGGTAAATAAATTACGGAACACTAGTCTATACGTTACAAACAAAAAATGATATTAAAGCGTATACCTTACAAAAAAAAAAAATTTTGTCATATCGATTTTTATATGACATTATTTCTGATCATATTTACACAAATGAATGCACAATGATGAAGTTGCAGCGAAACTCAAATATCTGAACAATTTCATCTTTAAAAATTATATCGATCATAACGTTTCTCACATTTGTCAAGATTATGATTCTAATCGTCCTTAAACTTAACAAGTTACATCCTGAAATTTTCCCGATCCCGGGCTATCTTACCGCTCGCTACATCGCTATATACCAGATACAAAACACCACCTTGTGGACTCGAAAAATCTTTTACTAATTTTCAAAACAATTATCCGAAACAAAATGACGATTTATAGAGACAAATCGTATCAACTATCGATTCGAGTCTATTCATGAGGTATGGCCTCACAATAAATTGAAGACTTCAACGCCATATTTCATGAATATTGTTTGGATCCGGAATTCTCGCGTGAATTATAACCCTGGATACCAATGGCAAGACGCCAGTATATTTAAAGAACAACGGGAAATTGACCTCAGTGATGTAAGATGTACTTGTCATCTCCTTCTAATTTCTATACTCAAAACTTTTATCTCAAACGAATCAGCATAATTAAAACAACTATCACAATAAATCATGAACCGCGGGAAAGCGGTCTATGCAACGCTAGGGATACGGGAGGGAACCATCGTCGTTGATGATCGTTTCCTACTCAAATTCCCAGACGCTATGACAACACTACCAAAATTAGAAATTGCTTTTTAACTTTACTTACGAAAATCACGCAGAATTGAAATTATCTTCGACTTCTATGACAACTGTAATGATGTTCGAGTTCATTAACGACGACCCACTCGCGTACACTCGCTATGACTTAAGAGTCTGGGAGAATCTGGGGAAATTTACGTCTGCTGTCAACAGACTAAAGACCGAACTAGGGGCACTTTGGCCTTGCTATAGATATTATAAAATAAATTTTCAAATTTCTCGCAAGTGTTGCCATTTCATGGAAACAAGCGTTTGGTGCTGGCACGTTTACGCAAGTCCAATCTGCGTCATTCCCCAGGGGTGCCCCAGAAAAAAAAAACACCACTGCAAGTAAGAAATCTGCACATTGTGACTAGTTAATTAAACTTTAAATATAACTTTTTAGACAATGAAATTTCTTTTATCCATTTAAATTAATTACAAGTCATAGATGTATCGCAAAATTAAATACGATGTCGTAGGAAATAAATTGTTTATGTGAAAATGAAGCTAAACTTTAGTGATGCATTATTGATCGCTATACTATAAGAATGATTAAATGAAACACATTTTTATTATATATATATATATACTGTCCTGATAAATTACACGAGCTGCCGTATAAGATTTTTTTTTTTTGTGAAACAGTATGAAATATGTATCTATTCATATTCCTATTTGTAAATTCAATTGACAATGAAACAGCTCATCTAAACGTAGCTCCACTGCTTGATTTTTTCTGTAGATAAAAATGACCTACACTGGATATTACCTGAGCAAGTGATTTCTCTGTAGAAAGGATTTTTGAAATGTATAGTTATTCGAATAACATTACATAAATACTTATGTAGACATTGCATAATCAGTAAATTTCTTTTTACATATTTTTACACAACAATTCATTGTAATTCCGCTTTTATTATAATTAGCCTCATATTTTCATTCATCGCTCGTTTCGTTCGAGGATGAATAATAAATTTTGTTTTCCCAACAAAACAATACCGACAAACTCAGATTTCTACGTAAATCTCTCTCTTTCTCGATCAAGCTCAATCGTTTCCCAAAAAAGCCAAGTGACTCGCGGTCAACTAAAATCGAAATTCATTTCATAATGTTCATCATTTAGCTATGAGGAAAGAAAAAAATATGAGAAACTAGTGTTCTTGGCTGAGCGCTTATCCAGTGCTGGCAATTTTTTGTACTATGATGTGGAAGCGATATTCAATTTCTCATTGACTTCCGCGATTCACGGACCGCACACACGTTTCTTATTTAGCCGCGAGTCTGTAGATCGAGAAACAACAAGGAAGATACCCGGGACGGTGGAGGAGGCTTCTCGCTACTCATTTACATCAAGCGGCATTCTGGACGCATACTAATTTTATAAGCGCTAAGGAGTATCGCTGTCTTTCATAATCATAGGAACTACCGTCCCAACAGCACATTTATAAAGGAGAGAAAAAAAAAAAAATATAAGAAATAGTCTTTGTATAACCTCAGCTGTCTCCCTCTCACTCCCTCTCTCGTTTTCACGCATAACCTCTAACCTGTATTATCCGACGGAAGAAGAGAGTATTCGAGAGGTTCGACAGGCTAGATCCATGATCGACGTTCGGTTCGATATCGATATACCATCAAAGAATAACGAGAATAAACAATCGAGGGTCGTATCCGGCTATTCTAGAGATCCACGTATACCGTGTGTGATTCAATTAATGATTGGATCTCTAAACAGAGATTGCTTCTTCTACACGGGCGCTAAATTAAATCTGGGTTTTTTTTTCTCCGCGCACGTTTTTTTCAGGAAAATCCATGCGTCCTTCTAGGGATGAGAGAATACACGAGGCCCGCGAATATCGAATAATAACCGGTCGCGGCGCACAGTGTACAACCCTGGGAGCAATTCGATCGTTTAAACCATGCCTCCTGTTTCAAACACCGTTTACGTGCATCTTGTGCGACCTCGGGATCTTGAGCACGGGCCGCCGAATAACCAGTTTCTTTTATCTCTGTGGCTCTCCTAGCCCTAATTGTTGACTTTGCGTTTGCTGTTGCGCGTTCCCAGTCACGCTACACCGTCCCCCATGGTGTTGCGCCGCCGTCCCCGTCTGCATCGAATTCTGATGCAATCCATTTTGGCTCGGCGACATTCCTGTAATAGCACAACGAATTTCTTTCATTCTGCTGTGACGAACGACGACAAACTACATCCTAGTTGCTCTTCTTCTTTGATAACATTTTGCAAGCGTTAGTGGTTTTCAAAGCATCCATGCGATACAGTTGCATCATGGGAAGGCGTAAGGGAAGGGTGATTTTCTTTCTTCGTGCATCGAACTGGAGGTATCGTTTATTGATTATCGATATCTAATTGATGCCACATTGATGATATCGTTAAGCTTAATAAGCATGATTTTATAAATGCTAACAACTGAATTTTTACGGTGTACAGAAGAATTGGAGGCATGGATAAGGATAGAAATGGTCCCTGATACAATTAAAAATAATAATTGTTAATGTTAGAGTTTATTTCAAATTGGTTAAAGGTGCATTCTGGCGTGACAAAACAGCAGGTAACATACTGAAAGGGGGTATAAAATTGTACGCTATATATACCCTGAACAAAGAGCGAGGAGGAGTGGGAGAAGGCTTTGCGTCCAATAACATTGCTCTGGCCGCGCATGCGCACTCGACACGGTTATACTTAATGAATGGAATATTAAAAATCAAATATTTGAAAGTGATTATTATCATTTTTCTATTCTTATTTTCATTAAAATTATTCGATCAAATAGAACAAAATCGCTTTTTGAAATTGAGAACATTGAATTGTTATTAGTATTTAATAAAGTAATCAGAAATCATGAATACGTGATACAGGCATCCAAGCGTTAAAACACATTTAAATACTTAGAACCTTTTACACTCGGCTCAAGTAAAACAGCTCACATAAAAATGATGATAGTAAAATGGGACTTACCCGAAGGAGTTTTGTCGCCCGCAGACATTTTCGAGAAGGCTAAAAGCGCGTCAGGAAAATTTGGTGGGGTGGCTGGTGTATTACACGGCGTTATCTAGAAGAAGAAAAAAGAGAATGTTCTTTATAAATTCTGGTAACATATCATCGAGACATTTGACTTATAGATTTGTTTGTTTACGTCCCTATGCATTGCGTGCGAGATTATTTAGGTCGTGACTAGGGCGCATGACTGTATTCTACTCGTAAACATAGATTCTTTCTTTAAAAATCGATAAGTAAAATAATTTTCTTTTACACGGTGGATTTGGCGTGTAAGGGCAAAAGCAAACCATATTTCGTGCTCCATTCATCTAATTCAAACAGTTAACTGTCCTAGACCAATTAAAGAGACTTTATCGTCTTAAGAGTTACGTCCGTTTTCCTGTTTGTATTTCGGATACACGGAGAGACCAAGACATTGGTCTCCTATGTTAAGCTAAAAATAACGAACGAACGAACGTTTTACGTAAGCTGTGTAACGAAGCGATAGAAATCTATGGGTAAAGGTGGGTGAAAAGAGAGGAACAAAAGTAAGCTTTCTGCGAGCAAGAGAACTCGCGTCGGTTGTTAAGGTCGTCGAACCTTCCGGTTCTGAATGCGATGTCGGTGTACCAGGTGGACAGAACGTAACAATGTGTAAGATGCACGTGTGCTGACAGCCGACTATGATTGCATAAATAAACAGAGAGAAATGCAAACAGAATATCCTTCATCCTTGTACAATAGATAGAGGGTCATATTGACCCAGCTTCAGAAATTAGACATATCAAATGTTAAGCTCGTGTTTTATGTAAATTGATATCGTAATTTTCAGCAATTTATTAAAACAAGATTTTTGTAAAAATAAATTCCTAAGGGTGTATGCTTTTTTTTTTTAGCCCTCCTTAGATATGCACCCTTAAATAAAAATGGCTTGAAAAGTCCAGAATTTCACATTCGAATCTGAACGTTGTCGTAAGTCCAGTGTTGGATAGAGATTTGGCACACGGCTTATCGGAATGCCGCCGACCGAGAATAGTAACACGCCTAGCAACTATCTGTCCACAGTGGTTCTCTGCCTTTCATAATGTTTCGAAGTTCGCTAACTGAAGTGTATATACGTACCAAAGAGAACGCTCGCAGCCAATATAAAGAGATACAACCAGCGATCGTAGATAAGATATCATTGACTTGTCAATAAAATTCGTTTTATGAATAATATTCTCATGATATCAGCAGGGAAAATAAAATCGACTGATATGTACACCTGGCTACAATGTAGATTTCCTTCAGTTAAATAAAACCTAAAGTACTGTCTTCGGCTAACAAGAAGTCCTATGATAATTTGAAAATCACGCAATCTGATTGGTCGCGCCCCCACCACAGCTAACGCGTACTTTCGGTCGTGACATATGATTGGTCGAAGCGGTCACGTGGACTAATAGGCTGATATAAAAGCAGGAGGTCGGTCAATGTGTGCATAGTACCCCTTCGTACTCTCTACGAAGTCTCACAAGACTTCTTGCGAGCGGAGGATAGTACTCCTTCCCTTGCGACGCCATTCTCCCTAGGTACGGAAGTCTACTTTGCTCGCCACTGTACAATTTTAATCATCGTTATGGACTGTTCATAAATTTCCTTTCGCTTTCATTGCTCGTGGTAATGTACAAAAACCAATTTATCATGTACGAGAGAGAGAAAAAAAAAAAAAAACTCTTTTGAGACTGTCAGCAGAAAAAAATATGCACACATGAAGAAAAGTGTTCGAGCCTGAAGTGGCAGAAGCTAAGAAAGGAATTCATTCTGCTGAATCAACATGGTCATGCCACGTAGTTTTACGAGCCTTTTAATTAATCCGAACGGTTCGTTATTATACAAACGCCCGGAAACAGACTGTGAAATTAATACAGTTCTTCTTTGGTAAATGAATCGACGATCGCGTTAAATAAAGCACATGCGCGAATACGATTTCTAGTAAATGAATACGTGTTTAGTAACACGGCAACAGTATTACAATCGATAAAATTATCGCGATTCTAATGCTCGGCTTGCATGAAATTAACCAATTAAAATTTGATACGCAATATTGCAGCGCGCATCAGTAATTATATTAAACTTTATAAAATTCAATCACTATGTTAATTGTTTAATGAATGATGGAGTCGTGAAGGTTAAAAAATAACCGCTCCAATAATAAAGATTGTTTACAGAAGAATTGACTTTGTTTAATTTATCAATGAAGTAGCATCGAATGATGAAGATATTAAAAATCAACGGTATCAACTTCCTGATATTCTTATCAAAATCTTACACAACAATTCGATATAATTACACATATAGTTTGTATTTCATAAAAGTGATAATAAAGGCGCGGATCGTAGTAAAACTTTATTTAGCCAATAAATAAAATTGTGTATTAATGCTCAAAGTGAACATTAATTGGATTTGAATTTTTAAATTTAAGTTAATTTAACAGTATTTTATTACAGAACAAGCTAAGAATTTAAGCAGCTCACTTTCACAAAAATAAACAAAACAAAGATTTTATTATCACGTATATCTAACTCGTTTTCCTATCTGACTCGTAATTTTTCAAAATGATGTAACCATAATCTGGCCTGCATTATTTACGATCGTTGACACAACTATCCCTATATAGATAACATAATATTTTCTTTTTTTTTTTTTTTTTCCACTAACAGTATACTTATTTCGTGATTTGCATTATCTTTAGTGTTAACAAAATCAGGTGAAAGGAGTGATTTATTGAAGAAATTTTCATTTCTATATTGACAATATAATTAACGACTATATTGTTCTAAAAATAGTTCAATGTATGCGGTAGAAATTTTAAGCTGAAAGATAAAGAGCTTAATGAAAGGTTAATCGGGGTTAATTACGATGTGATGTAGCGATGCGATATAATAACAACGACGAATATATTGCATGTTAATTGAAAATAATCCAACATATGTGACACGAAATATATTAAATATTTCAAGGAAAACAGTTTGTTTATATTCGAGGATTTAGTCGATGATATAAAAAATACGATGTATTTACATTCCACTCAAATTAATCGAGGGGAAAAAAAAAAAATCAGAGATAGGATTTCGAGTGATGATATTTTGATAAAAATATTGAAATTTTTGACATTTACAGAGTGAAAGGCAATAAAGAATATGGAAAAGGTGAAACAGAAATGGTATAAAAATAATTGCAATTTAATTAACGTTGTGTTAATAGAAATCTAATTTTCATTTATAAGAATCTTAATAAAATCGACCGAATAGAAAATCTTTAAGAACAGATAAGGTTGATAATCAGACTCGATATCTTCTGTTTTCTGATAATAAGATCAAAATTGCAACTTTAATATTTTCAATTTTCTATCCTTATTTTTAGGAGTTTCGATATCATGATAGGATCACACCATCGTCACGTGTGATGATAATTTTTAATTCGGCTCCATTTCC